TTTGGTTTTCCAAGTAGGACCACAAATGCTCTATTGGATAAAGGTCAGGTGAATTTGGGGGCCAAGACATGACTTGAAAGTCACTGGAATGTTCCTCGAACCAATCCATGACGATTCGACCCGTATGACATGGTGCATTATCCTGTTGGTAAACACCATTCCCCGCAGGAAAAACTGTTGCTATGATTGGGTGAACCTGGTCTGCAACTGTGTTCAAGTAGCTTACAGACGTCAGGGATTGTTCTATGAGGATTATGGGTCCTAATGTGCCCCATGAAAACATTGTTCCTGGGCGAGAAACCATGAAAACCTGGGCGAGCCCATTGTTATAGATGGAGAGTGGTCATAATGTAATGGTTCTTCGGTGTCGGTATTTAGATTTAACTACACCTTTTAAAATTTTACATAAAAGCTCCATTTAACTTGAACCTAAGTGTTCTTTTACTCTATTCTTTGTGTTGATGAACACAAATTCGCAGGTAGCTTTTTTTCTATATCATGTAAAAGCTTTATTTTTCCAGTATTAGGTACTCTCCTTGTTAGATGTCCAGTCCATATTTCACTAACTGCCTTATGTATTATGTAATATAATGTGTTATTCGAATATTGTATTAATTATTACATGATTTTCTTCAAAACAGGTCTGAAATATCACCACTGTCAATGCAATGTGGTATTTAATCAATGGTTGGGTGTTTTCTTTTCTTTTTTTTAATTGTCTAACTCAAGACACTGACCCCAAAAAGTAAGTTGTATATTTACTGTTTCATTAGATCAAGAAAATTTTGTACATTTACTGTTTCATTAAATCAAGAAAATGTTGTATATTTACTGTTTCAATAGATCAAGAAAATGTTGTATATTTACTGTTTCATTAGATCAAGAAAATGTTCGTATCTTCGATTGTATAAAGTCAGCTTTATTTTCTAAGCAGAAAATTATCAATTATTCATAGCTTGCAACGTGTATGATCGATGAGGAAAATTTTTATTTAGGTAACAATATTTACATTTTAGTACAAAAATTTTGTTTACTAAAGCTTTAAAAAAATTTTTTTCGATTACCATGATAGATCAAAAGTTCAAATACAAGTATTTAAAATCTTTTAGTTAAGCATCATATTTATAAGAATTAGTAAACTGTATCACTTCTTAGAAATATTTTTCTAGTCTAATTATTAATTTACTTTCACTAGTGTTAATCCATTCCCAAGTTATGCATATTCCATACTTCCTATACTTCCAAACTCTATACTATTAATCTAATGTATATTCCATATTTCCATAAGCTATTCTGTAATCATATAATGAGCAATAATTTGTATATTGGTAACGCTGGGGAGCAAATGAATTTTGCTCCAAAAGTTGCCGATATCATTTCAATGACAGTTTAGTCTATGTTTCTTTAAAATATACATGGTTAAAAATGTTAAATATAATAGAGCGCCGCATAAGTGACTTCTAGGCCTCTAGGGGATTTAGGGCACTGACTTCTAGGGGATTTAAGGCACATCATTTGATTAAATTGCATAGGAACTCATGCCTGGAAATCTCGTCGTACGCGCTTCTCTATTATGAACCGTTTTTGTGAGCTTCTGATAACGTTATAATATGGAGTGCCCCTAGACGCGTATGATGACATTTTAAAGCACGGGTACCTATGCAATTTCAATCCTGATGCTGTGCCTTAACTCCCTTAGAAATTAATCTCAATATTTTCACGACCTACTGTTATATATAACGTTTTTAAATTTTATGTATCACTTTATGTATTATATAAACTTTATTCAAACGCTATGCAACATTTTGCATATTTCGGAAAATAGACAAAGAATGAAATATACAAGAAAAACTACAGCAGGGAGAAAGAAACAGATAGCAGACTTGATATCAGCGACGTAACAACATCTAATATCCGTTAAAAAAAATCTCATGCTATGGAAAACAAAAAAAAGGCTTGTTCACGAGTGCAATTATCGTTACCAGTGAAATTATCGTCTTCATTAATATAAATTTTTTATTCCTTGTCAAAAATGAAATGTATATAAATTAAAAACAAATACTTAAGTAAGAAAGAAAAAAATATGGCGAAAATTAAGAGAATAATTATCAAGGTAAATCAAAATGAAAGTGGTATTAAAAGCATCAGTTGGAGAGTGGCATATGAAACTGGATAGCATTTTGGATAATCAGATTGTACCTTTCTCGTTGTTCTCCAGTTCTATTCTTAGAAACCTCTCTTAACCTGACATACTCGACTTGGAAGGATGGAGAATATGTGGAATGAGAATTTTTAAGAATGTTTTAAATGTTACTGATATAATTTATGCAAATAAATTTCGAGATATTTTCTATTTTTTTCAAAACACCAAAATACATGATCGCCACCTCTTAGTATCGCTATTTTTTTGCAATCTAATAAAGCAAGGCACTTATTTTTGGAGAGGCATAGTGTTTTCAAGTAATATTCTATTATCAAAATTTTTTCCATAGAAAAAAAAATTCCTCGAGAAAACGAAAGTTAAAAATTTAAAGGGAACAACGCAGTAAAATTTTCAAAAATGAAAGAAAAGTTACTGAATTTTTCTAAAATGTAAAATTTACAGAATAATGTGCAGTGCTCTAACTAAAACAATTTTCAACTGATTTCATTTAAATTTCGACAATATGTTTACACTAAATATACTTTTTGTTGCATGACCGAATTTTTTTAATTGAATGGACTGGTTTTGAGTAATCTACGAAAACTAACTTATTTTATGTCCTTTCTTAATTCTTTTTACAAAATACAAATTTATTAAAAAAAATTAATTTAAAAACCCTACGTGCTGCGAAAATTACTTCTCGTAGTTTTAAAAAATCAAAATGGAATCAAATCTGAATGATTTTTCTTTAAATTTATGAGTACAGCAAGTGGTGATCAAATTAAAAAATAAGTTATAAACATTGCAGTACATAAGCACTAACTTTTTTAATTGTTTTGTATCTGCAATATGACAATATGAAGATTGAAATATGTGCAATAAGATAAAAAAAAATACTAAGTTAAGTTTTCACAATTTTTGCAAATTCAGCATTATTTTTTTACAGAAGTTTCAACTGTGTTTTTTTCTTTAAAGCAAAATCACTGTAGCAGAAAAGGCTTCTTAAAATAAAACCATTTTTGAATCTATTAATTACACTTATAATCTATTCCCTGTGTTACTTTTGCAGCATATTTAATAACGTATTTGGTTTCTTTTTCAACTTCAGGATTAATTCGATACTCCTTATACATATATTTTTGAGCTTCATTTTGAACAGATATTTTAAAAATATATTTTAAGTTTGGTGTTCACGGAACATCTTTCAAATTTTAATTTCATTATTTTTCTTTGAAATTTAGCTGATTGTCAGCATTTATTTAGAATATGATAAAACAACATTACAATTTTGCAATTTACGATACTTAATATTGATTTGTTTTTTCTCTTATACAGTGGGTATATTTTTACGAGTGCAAAAGTACTTAAAAAAGGAGAGGAAAACAAACTTTATTTGAGGAGAATAGGGAATTTGGATGAAGGTACTTTAAATGTTACTTTATTGTACAGGTCAGACTTTTTCTCAGTAGATGTTCCTCAGATTTCTCAAGAATTTCCAGTACCTTCAGGTAATATATTTTCTTCAAAAAGATATCTATGCTATCTCAAGCAAGAAAAAATAAACTTTACCTGAATTTTATAAACTAGAGCTAAATAAAAAAGAATTAATATCAATAGTATTTCTTGCTTCAAAAGTATACCGGTTGTAGAATACGCATACATAGTGTCTCGTATTGACAAATCTTTATATTTTTAATAATTATAGAAAAAATTAAAAAACAAATTCTCCATTACGTGTGATAAAGTAAATTTTTAATGAAAAATGTTGTTTCTAAATTCTGACCCCTCCTCATTGATTTAGAAAAAAAAAGGAGGGATTGAAATCCTGAGAAACTATATTTAATAAATTTTCCGACTAGTGGAGTTAAAATAAATTCTTTTCCCTTCTTTCCTTTTTCATAATTTATATACTGAAATGAACTGTTTTTGATGATTTTAATCTATTTTTCTCTTATTATCCCTTTAACTCAGATTGGACACCGGTGTCCCTTTTAAATATTTTTTTCTGACTCTCTAAATACGGACAAAAATATATTTTGGTAGNAAATAAATAAATTAAAGAAATTTTATAACTTTTTCTCGTGATTTGAATAACTGCAAATTTGAAAAGTTATTGCTTGGAAGTGAGCCGTGTTTGAAGATTTTACTTTTAACGCAGAAAAAGACATCGTATTACAAAACCATAACTTATTAAAATGTTAAATATAATATTCTTTACTAATTGTGACCTAAATTATTACAAAATAATGAAAGAAATATGAAAAATATGTTTGATAAAATTCTGCGTCAAAGGGTTAATATCAATAAAGTTTTCTCAGGAATGAATTTTTTTTTTCTTCTATAGTATTTTGCGTGCCCTATTGAAGCTAGTTTCTTAACTACAGAGTTTTTAATTTTTTTTTGTTAAGGTTAGTTTTTTTAGATCATTTGCATGCAAGATAAAGTCTACAACTCTTGGTAAAACATGTGCATTTCTGATTCTTGATGCTTCGTCGCATATTAAAAAACGACCAGATGTTTCCAAACAATTCAAAGACAGTAAAATTTGAAAGTATTCTTTCAACTATTGAATTCTTGAGCTTTCTAGCTATCTATGGCTCTTTCTAATGCCACAATCGTATCAGCCCACTGAAAGCAATTTCAACATGAATGAATACAATACTTCACCATCAAAAGTTTAAACTTAATTCGTTCATTTAAAAGACAATCATTAAAACTGCAATTCTAATTGCGTATATATTTGGTGTCATGCGTACTTAAATGTTTTTAAAATCCCATTAATTTTCAGTTGGATTTAGTTATGAATGTCTACCTGCTTATGAAAGAGTCTGTGCTCTATAAAATTGACGAGATAAGCACTGGTGGTGTGGGAGAATTGACTGCATGGGCAGGGAGCCACGGCCTAACTTTTGCATTCACGCGGCTGAAACCGATTTGCACCTGTATACGTCCGTGTATCAATTGATTAAATTAGACGATAGATAATATAAAATCGACGATAGGAAAAATTAGACTATATATTAGATAAATATAGAACTAAACAAAACTCAGCGGCGCGACAGCCCTTGCGGGCTAAGGCCTACTGTGCCCATCTCAGTTTTCTTGACCTTGGGCTCTAAGGTGCAGAAGCAGATGTTCCGGTCAGGTGGTCAGCCGAACGCGGAACCCCCAGTGTTTAGTTCCCAAGCGTGCTTGGTACTCATTTATCGACCCACTGAAGGGATGAAAGGCTGAGTCAGCCTTGCCCGGCCCAAGGATAGAACCAGGGATCTGTGGCACGACAGCGTGAAGCGCTACCGCTCAGCCACCGGGCGTCAGATAAATATAGAATATTGAAATTATTTCAATTCCTATGCATTTTATTAGCATAAATTACATTATTTTTAATCTTCTTTCATTAGCACAAATGTACCAACAACTTCAATGCTTTTAATCAAGAAAGAGGCTTAGGAAAAAATATTGTTATAACCCAGGTCAAAATTGTGATCTGTAAATGGATGTATGAATGGGTCCATCCAATAAACGGGTATGACGTATGGGTGTGGCAGAAGTCGAATTCTTGGCCATAGATAGGGCCACTGGAAAACAAGAACAATCGCATTCGTCCCAACGCGGGCAGATCAAAGTGGTCAACCACCCGCTTACTGATCCCAGCCAGTGATGCATGACTATGGAAACCAAAGTGTTCAAGACACCAAAAACGTGTGAAATATTTATTTAATTTATTAAATAAATAAATAAAACTCTTTTTGAACCTCACTGATCCTATAAAATGTCCTAAATCTAAGTTAAGTAAAGGAAGTTGACGAGAAGGAATTATATTTCGACTAATTCGATGTGGGATACGGTTGCGTATTTAATTAACTTATCGTTAATTAACATTCTAACTTCTGTAGAATAACTTATTCAATACGTATTTTCTCTAATACTTATTAAAAAAGACCATCTAACAATTTGCATTGTTTTATGTACTAGCCAAATCTATAGCCAAAAATGATTCTGTGATAAATTGAAAGGTTCCGTTAGTTTTTTTTTTCATCATTATTTATTTAATACATTTAATTATTCTATCGTAACTACCACCATAATTTACATTGCAATTTATTTATGTATAAATCAAAAACTTACTTTGCATTTCGATCAAGATATTATAATGAATCATGAAGAATACGAAAAATTTTTTTTAATGAATCATGGCGAATACGATATAGGTTTTTTTTAAAGGAATGATAAAGAATATTACTTATGTTACCTAATAGATTATCATATCGTGTTGTTTAATTAGAGCTACATTAAAAGCGGTGACGGAATTTTAATTCCATGCGTTACATCTGCCTAAGCTCAGAAATATTAACTCAATTTTAAAAGTTAACCTTCTACATATATAATAATAGCGAAATATTGTTAGACATAGAACAGCTGCAAAACGTTATTAAACATGATTAGGAATACTTGTAGGCCTACGTATTTTCCTTTTTTTTAATTTATTAAATTAGTTTTATGATTAGACTTACGTGAAATTTGTATTGCAGAAAACTAATATTGAAATGAGTAATAGGAACATTTTCGATTTTCCTCTAACTTTTAAAATTATCATTGTATTTAATTTGTTAGTTCAAACCCCGCTCAATTTCTGCCTCCAGGTATCAGCTTGTCTGACGGGAAGTAAATGTGACCTGTGCGCATCGCGGATTATATAGCATATATTCATGCCAATGGACATGAAATTGCAGAGCTTTTACCTCCATAACCCAAGTGTACATTAGAGTAATAGCAACTCATTTAAAAATCTTATCGTATAGAGCAGTAGCGATGACTTACAAAGCCATCTAATGAGTAATTTTAGAACTGAAGAATTTTTTGTGGTCTTTTAATTTTTACTTATTTTCAATCTCAGAATAATTATCAAAATGTGTTTTGTTAAATAAATAAGTACACTCCTCAAAAGTGAAATTGCAACACCAAGAAATAATGCACGTAGCGTCATGCAAATTTCAGGAGCGATAGTAGTGAGATGGATATGCAAATGATTAATAAAACTGACTAATAAAATCATTATAAAGCAATTTATTCAATATCTAATGTGGCCACCTAGGGCAGCTATACAGGCCTCAATCCGGCGAGGTATGACATCAATGACTCCATTGATGGTTGCCTGAGGTAACCTTTTCCAAGCCACATCAACTGCTGTGCGCAGATCATCGATGGTTAGCGCCATTGGTCCTCTGTTCATGCCACGTCCAATGAGATCCCATAGGTGTTCTATGGGATTCAGATCTGGAGAGGCTGCCGGCCAGGGAAGGATGTCAAATCCNCCTGAATTAGACCATATAATAGATAAACACGGAATATTGAAATTATTTCAATTCCTATGCATTTTATTTGCACAAATGCATTTTATTTGCACAACTTCAATGCTTTTAATCAAGAAAGAGGCTTTGGAAAAAATACTGTTATAACCCAGGTCAAAATTTTGATCTGTAAATGGATGTATGAATGGGTCCATCCAATAAACGGGTATGACGTATGGGTGTGGCAGAAGTCGAATTCTTGGCCATAGATGGGGCCACTTGAAAACAAGAACAATCGCATTCGTCCCAACGCGGGCAGATCAAAGTTGTCAACCACACGCTTACTGATCCCAGCCAGTGATGCATGACACCAAAAACGTGTGAAATATTTATTTAATTTATTAAATAAATAAATAAAACTCTTTTTAAACTTCACTGATCCTATAAAATGTCCTAAATCTAAGTTAAGTAAAGGAAGTTGAAGAGAAGGAATTATATTTCGACTAATTCGATGCGAGATACGGTTCCGTATTTAATTAGCTTATCGTTAATTAACATTCTAACTTCTGTAGAGTAACTTAGTCAATACGTATTTTCTTAATACCTATTAAAAAAGTCCATCTAACAATTTGCATTGTTTTATGTACTAGATAAGTCTATAGCCAAAAATGATTCTGTGATAAATTGAAAGGTTCCGCCAGTTTTTTACCCATCATTATTTATTTAATCCATTTAATTACTCTATCGTAACTACCACTATAATTTACATTGCAATTTATTTAAGTATAAATCAAAAACTTACTTTGCATTTCGATCAAGATATGATAATGAATCATGAAGAATGCGACACATTTTTTTTAATGAATCATGGCAAATACGATATAGGTTTCTTTTTAAGGAATGATAAAGAATATTACTTATGTTACCTAATAGATTACCATATCGTGTTGTTTAATTAGAGCTACATTAAAAGCGATGACGGAATTTTAATTCCATGTGTTACATCTGCCTAAGCTCAGAAATATTAACTCAATAATTTTAAAAGTTAACCTTCTACATATGTAATAATAGCGAAATATTGTTAGACATAGAACAGCTGCAAAACGTTATTAAACATGTTTAGGAATACTTTTAGGTCTACGTATTTTCCTTTTTTTTTTAAATTTATTAAATTAGTTTTATGATTAGACTTACGTGAAATTTGTATTGCAGAAAACTAATATTGAAATGAGTAATAGGAACATTTTCGATTTTCCTCTAACTTTTAAAATTATCATTGTATTTAATTTGTTAGTTCAAACCCCGCTCAATTTCTGCCTCCAGGTATCAGCTTGTCTGACGGGAAGTAAATGTGACCTGTGCGCATCGCGGATTATATAGCATATATTCATGCCAATGGACATGAAATTGCAGAGCTTTTACCTCCATAACCCAAGTGTACATTAGAGTAGTAGCAACTCATTTAAAAATCTTATCGTATAGAGCAGTCGCGATGACTTACAAAGCCATCTAATGAGTAATTTTAGAACTGAAGAATTAACACAAGCTTTACAAATTAGGAGAAAAATGATATTTGTTAATTTTCGTAATATAATAAATTTTGCACAGAAGGATACATTAACATTTGCACTTTAAATTGTAAGGAGAACACTTAGGACTTTCTGGTTTTAGTAGCTGTTAAAAACAAAAACTTCAAGAAACACAGAAAAAAATTAAGAAAGGCATCCTAATCCAAATTAGTAACGTAGCAGAACTGTAAAAAGAGTAGAAAACTACGAGTATACTCTGTTCCGAGTTAAGAAAAATCCATTATCCTTATGCAGAGAGCCTGCTAAGTACATGCCAAATGGATTCCAAGGTCCCATCGCGAACGTATATCAACGTCACCAATTCTTGAAACGACGTTGAGCAGCCTTCTTTTGCTTGTTTTCTTATTAACAATACTTAGCAGGCTTCTTATTAACAATACTTAGCACAAAATAATAATCAATAAATAAGTGATAGAAATTGGTAAAATTGTTTTCTAAAAATTGTAACAAATATACGTCTTTCTTTTCGTATTTTAAAGAAACTGATAAAAGAACAATAAATATTCCATAGCACATCGATGCCTCTCAGAGAAACCAACACAGAAATTCACTTCATTCTAATCTACATGTTCCGCTGTCAACGCGCCATCTCGTTTTCGAAAAAGAAACTATTCTTCCTCAATTTCTCAATGAAAACGCTACATTATTTATTAAAGTCTCTATAATATAAAATGTATGTCTCTTCGCTCACAAGTTCATATGGAAAATGGGGTGTTCTTCTGCACCGTATATATTGTGTACATTTATGATTTAAAAAGAATAAGAAATGTATTCTTTATTCACCTTTGAATGTCAGGATGTTTAAAGTTACATTGTAAGAATTTTTTTTCTGTTAATAGATAAATTTTTCAATGTGTTTATGTAAAAATCAGAGGTCATTTCTTTTATTTTTGTGGTCTTTTACCTTTTACTTATTTTCCATCTCAGAATAATTATCAAATTGTGTTTTGTTAAATAAATAAGTAGATGCTAAGCATGCTTAATGCTAGTTAGTTACAGTAATTTAAGAATTTAAATAAAACAATTAAGAAAGTGAGCAAAATATGATTTCAAAAGATACAAAACAATATGTGCTTATAAATATATTTCAAATTTATGAGCATTTCTTAATATATATATTCCAAATCTATAAATATATTTTAAATTTATGAATAGTAAATTCAAGTTACGCTATCAATAGGAATTATAGTTATATAAGTGTAAATTGTGCTAATAATATATAGTATACGAACACATTATTTGACAACCTAAATTGAATCGTGCAGTACAAACAAAATGCAAGAATGACGAAAGAAAAGATTTGAACTTTGCAATAATGATTATTGAATGCTATGTAAAATAATAATTATAATTTAAATATTTTTTTCTTAAAACAGATTTTAAACGACTTTTATATTTTAACAGGTGAAGCATATACGACGTTTAACTGGCTTCTGGACAACTTTGAAACTGATTACAGTTACGGGACTTTAAAAATAAACGGAATTTTTGGGGATTACAGCTTTACGGGTAATGACACTGTTAAATTTGTTTATCCGAAGCCAAATATTGTCATCATTCAAACAGATAAGCCTGTATACCAACCAGGACAAACAGGCAAGTAAATGAAACTCAAATTTTTATATTATAGTAATATGTAATGTATTACGGAAGACTACTATATACAGTGAAAGATAATTATGTACATCCGGACAATTTTAAAGTGATTACAGCTAAGGAACTTTATAGATAAATGCTACTTTTTGAGATTGTACCTTTATAGGGGATGATAATTTTAAATTTGTTTGTCGAAAAGCAAAATATTATTATCATTTAAATATATAAGCTTACCAATCCGGACAAACATGCAATTAAATTGCAAAAAAGTACTGGCATTCAAGGTGCCGGTACTTTTAATCATAAATTCCATTCCATTTTTATTGAAATATGTTATAAAACGAAAAATTTACATGTACCGTAATTTTTAGCAACGGTATACTAATTCTTAATCTAATTGGCTCAACACCCTAACTTGAAATATGATATTTATTTAGTGTAGATGGTATTTTAAGTTACGGAATAAGACTCAAAACCGTACTTTTTCTGAATAAGCATACTTTTCAGGACGATTGAATTCGTGACCCTTAAAATATAGAGGATAGCCGTAATCTTGTAACAATGTTTCAGGCAAGAGAGAGGTCAAAAGTTTGAACTTAAGGTTGATTTTACTTTTCAAGCATTTAGCTATATGACTAGAAATTTTTAAGTCAAACAAAAAGCACTAAATAAAATTCATTTATCAGTCGGTAATTTATGGAAAAAAATAATTTTAAATATTTTACTTAATATTTGTTAAATTACTTTTAATATTTTAATATTTTATTTAATAGTAGTCAAAAAAATTTAACTGTAAAGTGTGTAAAGGCCTGGTTTCTTAGGACAGGACGCCGTCAGCTGGAAATCAGCGCTAACCTCTGATTGGTCCATTTGTGAGTNCATCGAGCACCAAACGTGGCATTCAGGTAATTCCGTACATCAATGCTGAAGTGTGCTGGCGCCCCATCGTGCTGAAACCACATGCGGTTACGAATGGCGATCGGAACATCATGCAGCAGTTGTGGTAACACTTCTTTCAGAAAAATAAGATAGCTTCCGCCACTGAGTCGCGTGAGTAGTAAGTATGGCCAATCAAAAATTCGTTCACAATACCAGCCCACACATTAATACAGAAACGTTGTTGAAACGCATGTGGACGCGTTGCATGTGGATTATTGGTTGCCCACACATGGGAATTGTGCGCATTAAAGACACCCTCGCGTGAAAATGTCGCTTCATCTGTAAATAGCACATCCCCTACGAAATCTGGCTGCAACGCACATTGCTGCATCACCCACAGGCAGAAGTTCACGCGGAGAGGATAATCTGCCGGATTCAATGATTGTACTTTCTGAAAATGGAAGGGGTGTAAGCGATTTTCGTTTAACACTCTGCATACAGTCTGATGACTCACACCTACGTCACGCGCAACAGTTCTTGTGCTTGACTCGGGTCTACCAGCCACAATGTTCAAGATGCTTTCTTCCAGCCTTGGAGTGCGTACAGCTCTTAATCGACCAGCGTCATGTCTGTTGACGTCGAACGCACCTGTTTCACAAAGTTGACGATGCAGCCGTTGAAAAATTCTATGATCCGACATTCGTCGATCAGGATACTCCGCGCGATACATTCGTAACGCAGCTCTGCCGTTACCATTTGCACGGCCGTACATGTAATGCATGTCTGCTTTTTCTGCATACGTAGAGTCACCCATCGTCTACGGCAGCAGAATTGTGAATGGCGCTTTTCCCTACTGCGATGCATCATTTTCAACGGCGGCTAGACATCTACTGCCCTCTACCGGCAATGATACCAACCGATCACTCCATTTCTCTTTCCTTTTATTTCCCCTGTTTACGCCTCACCGCGTCACTTGCGACTATACATTCCTATACAATAAATCATTGTTACAATGTCCTGTACCTACCATTAAAGTTTGTACCATGAATTCGGGACCACCCTGTATATACACAATAATACAAGAAGTTCAATATTATTTAATTCTAAGAAATTAATTATTTTTTAATTTTTGTTCAACTCGAACAAGTCAGCTTGAGATTTCATTGCTCTGGTATCATTTAAATAATGATGACTAATATAAGTTATGCCTTTTACGGATGAGTTTCGTAAACATTTCTCTTGCGAAATTATAATAAATGTACTAAGAATTAAATTTTTTTCCCTTGCATTTCGTAACGCCAGAAGTACGTAACAGAATAACAGCTGGGTAACAGATGTTTTTATGGAATACACAAATATTTAAAATCTAGTCTCATCAGCAGGAAAACAAAATTACTGCTCTACGAAGTTTTGATTAGGTCCACATTTACGTACGCTGAGACGTGCTTAACTGAAGGTGATAAGTAAGTTTTAGCGGTTTTTAAAAGAAAAATACAGCGAAGCATTTCGGGAGGTGTCAGGGGGAATGATAGTTGGAGAAAAATAACACAATTAAAACTTTATGGGATCAACAAAGAATCGGACATAATAAAATTTATATCAGTTCAAAGAATAAAATAGGCTGGACAACTGATTAGAATGAATGATGATCGGGTCACCAAAAAGATCTTCGCCAAACCATCTGGATCAGGTGGATCGACTGCCTAGAAAAAGAATTAAGAGTTCTCAAAATTATAAACAGGTACAGTTTAACAAAGGGGGAAGCTTGGAACTTGCATTTGAGAAAGGCCATGGCTCACCCTGCGCTGAAGCGCCATTGAAGAAGAAGAATAACAATTTAAATTTCTTGTTAATTGAACAAAAATAATTCTTATCAAAACTTAAAAAACTCAAATAATCCTTAGATTCCAATTTCCAAAATAATACGAACTGCAAACCATTGAAAATTTTCTGCTGTATTTCATTTTTGAACTGAATTTAAAATGATTTTGATTCCCACTACACGTAAATATGTCAAGGCTATCTAGAGTTTAGATAATCAAGTTATGTAGAATATAGATAACCCTAATAAATTAACAGGAAAAATTTTACCGACAATTTTATTTCGACTGTCTTTTCACAACCATTTGACAATTGCCTAATCGGAAAAGTTCGCAAGTGAAATAAGGTGAAAAATTTAGCATCCTATAAATTAGCTACGCTAAGAATAAAAATATTTTGAAATATTTTACGAGTATTTTATGAAATATGTTATAAATATTATTATGATATATTTACTTGCAGTAAAATTTAGAATACTGAAAGTGAACAAAGATTTCAAACCAGGTAATGAAGATAACGTAAGTATGTTTTTTGGCTCTCAAATATGTTATAAGAGTCATTTTAATTAACAGCTCACATAAATTGACATTTTTCTTAGAGTTTTGATACTATGCATTAATATTTATTTTCATTCACATTGGTATTCTTTTTTACTAATTCCTACTCATTTTAGTAATCTTAAACTTAATAAAGTTTCATAAAAAATTTAATTTCGTTTTAATCAAATTGCGGCCTTTTAAAAACACACATAATAGAAACTTATTTTCTTTTCTTAAGCAATATGTCCACAGGATCAATATGGATAAATTATGTAATGAATTTCGGAGCATGATAAAAATAAATACATGGCTTCTTGAACAGTGAGCAGCTAACCATACATTAGCATCTCCATATTTTTCTATTATTGAATTTTAAATTAACTGCTTTTTTTCTTAATTGAAACCTGATATTTCCTTAAATTATCCCTCAAATTTCCCTTAATAATTCAAATTAATTTACCGAAAATTGTCCTTTATTCTGAAAATAACTTTTTCATTTTTGAAAAATAATTCTTTTAGAATAAGGCATAATTAATTTAAAAGAGAAAAACTCTCTTCTGTAAAATATAAAACAAATTGCTTTGGGCTGATTTTTTTAAAATCAATAAAAATTCCTTAAAGCATTTTCATTCGACATGTTCTTTTTAATTTTTAATTATTTTGAGGGCAAAATAATTTACCGAGTGTTTATTTTTAATAAAATAAAAATAATTATTGTTTTAATTCATTCACTTTCTTCAGACAGCTAACGCATATGTTGCCGATCCAATGGGAACACATCTGTTTCACTTTGAGGACATAGAATTAGTAAAAGGTAAATATTTTTAAACAAAATATTTAAGCCCATATACCCTTAAAAATAAGAAATTAAAAAAAATAAATGAAAGAAATAAAAGTAAAATAAAAATATCATTTCAACTTTATATCATAAAGAAGTAAATACAGATTCCCAAAGATTATTAACTGAATTTATTCTTAATATTAATTTCACCCGAAAAATTTCTGATTCTTCATAAAACAAATACTTTCCTGTACTCTACGCTTAGATTGTTACCAAATAGTTTTTACTTCTACAGCGAAAGGCCATCTCATGCCGAAATGGTCAACAAGTTAGGGATATTTTCAGATTTATCATTATTTTTATCGTTGTAAGCGATTTAAAAGCACAAAAAGTAGGTAATGAACAATACTCTTTATTTATAATGCATGAATAAAATTGGACACAGAAGTTAATGGCACAAATGCTTGAATTAGCTACAATGCACCGAAATTACAGTCATAATTACTAAGTAATTAAGTAATAATTACTAAGGGAAAAAGTGCCGGAACATGCAAAATAAAAAAGTAAAATTAAATGAAAAAAAACTAAGTATAGTATTTTAGATTTGAGAAAAGTTTCTAAATTTAAATGTCTTGTTAAGTTTTACTAATGAAGTTAGTAAAATTATAACGTATTATTTCATTAAAAAAAAATTAATGTTCAATTTTTTGTTACTTTCGAATTCGTAATCGGTTTTCACTGCTTAAAAAAATTATAATAGTTTTTATCATAATTATGTGTTTTGATTCAATCTAACGTGTTTTATTTTTCACTAGGCATAGCACAAAACGAGTTTAAACTTTCGGAGGAGCCTTCCTTGGGTACTTGGTCAATTAACGTATCAGTAGCAAATGAGTTTCACACGACAGAATTTGCTGTTGATGAATTTGGTATGAAATAAAAATAATATATGCTTTTCTTATCATTTAAATAAATCATAATATTTAAATATATTATTAAACAACGGGAATGAAGCACGAATAGTGATAAAAAGCAAGTATATTATAGTTTCGGTTCCATAAACAGGAATCTTTCTCAATGTCGAAACACAAAACATCGCACAATGAAAGAAGAAATCACAAAATGCAAATGAAACACATTACTTTCTGTGTTTTGACCAGAGAAAGTTTTCTGTTTATGGAAACAAAATAATAGTTAGAACCTCTCACAAACAAAACATTCCTCCTCTTTGTCGAAACGTAGAATGTCACAAAATGAAACATAACACATAATGAAGCATCTAATTTCCTTTTATGTTTTTACCAGCGAAAGTTTCTTGTTTATGGAAACAAAATAATAGTTAAAACCTCTCATAAGCAAAGCCTTCCTCATTGTCGAAACTCAGAATGCCACAAAATGAAACACAACACATAATTATATCCTACGCGTCAATCAGAGAAAGTTTCTTGTTTAGAGAAACGAAATAATAGTTAGAATGTCTCATAAGCAAAACCTTCTTCTTTGTTGAAACGCAGAATATCACAAAAGGATACACAACACATAATAAAACGCATAATTACATTCTACGCTTTGACCAGAGAAAGTTTCTTGTGTATGGAAACGAAATAATAATTAGAACCTCTCATAAGCAAAACCTTCTTCTTTGTTGAAACGCAGAATGTCACAAAAGGAAACGCAACACACAATAAAACGCATAATTACATTCTACGTTTTGACCAAAGAAAGTTTCTTGTGCATGGAAACGAAATAATAGTTAGAACCTCTCATAAGCAAAATCTTCCTCTTTGTCGAAACGCAGAATGTCACAAAATGAAACACAACACATAATGAAACACATAATTATATTCTTTATTTTAACAGTGAAAAAGGTTATTATTTAATCAATTGAAACAGTGGTAAGAACCTTCCGATAGAAAGAACCTAGCTCATTATCGAAACACAGAATATCACAGAATGAGAAACAGAATTAAATTTTGTGTTCAATAGAGAAAGGTTCTTGTTTATGAAACAGAAACAGTAGAGTGTGCTTCATTTATTTACGCTGCTTAGTTGATATACGTAGCACAGAATATTCCCTATCCTTAATTGGACAAATCATTGCAGTTTCAAAAGCGTGAAATACTAGTTATCAAAGTTTATAACAGATGGTGTTTTCTACACTAGGGAGCACTGCAAGCTCTTTACTGCCTATACTTCCGGGTTATTGTTTCCGGTGTATTTTGTGGCCATTTGGCTCACAACGTGGTCATTGTATTCTGATACTCTCTTCAATAGTATTTCAATAGTAAAGAAAATCGTTATAAGAATGGTCATTTGAAGAACCTGTCATTTCAAGACGTAAGAATCGCCATTTAAAATACAGAGTGGTTGTAAAACACTTTAACTTGTCAACAATATACAAACTTGGAAATTTAAACCTAAATGATAATTTGAAAAATGAACTTTATATCGCTGCTCGAACCATAGCCTAACACTAACGCATGATGGTGCACAGCTTGCAACAAGAACAAACAGTAATAAATAAATTGAAAGAGGGCGAATCGTGACTGCCAAAAACGTGAGTTCATTCTAAATCTACCAATAATATCACAATTTTTAACAATGCATCTATAAATAACTGAAACAAATTTTCACTTCAAGCTCACCAAAACTACTTAATATCATTAATATCTTATGGAATACAGTAGATTTAAGCTCAGAAATTATATAATTTACTTCTTTTATTATAAGAACAAAACTATGTGTTTGAAAATATCACCTCGCCGAATAAGCTGTAGTAAGCAGCTCTATACTTTCCAACCGGAAATAGAGCAGGTCAAGAGCAAGAGATTGTTGCTGTTTATATTTATCTTGAAAACATCATCCATAAAATAATTTTAAAAAAATTTATTCTTCTTCATAATAAAATGACTTTTAATCATTACTTTTTTCTCATAATAGACCCACCTACGTTTGAAGTTAAATTGAATTTACCATCATTCATATTGTCAACTGAAGAAAATATTTTAATAGAAGTGTGTGCAAAGTAAGAATATTTCTGCACTCTATATTTCTAGATATGTAGGGTAGTTCTGAAATATTCGTCCTTGATATATATTTTTAAAATTTATACACTGCTATTAGAAAACATTATAAGAGATTCGAAAATATCGTTATCATTTATTTAAGTAAAACGTAAGGACAATATTAGTGTGGTCAGCGACAGTAGAAAAGAAAACGAAAAGAGAACAGATCGAGGAAGCAAATTTGCACAAAGGAGTGGTAAAAGTGAGATTTGAAACCGGACGATATCGAACATCTTGGGGTTTGTTTCTGTCGAAGGTTGAAGCTGAAGATAGTTACTTTAAAGTTCTCTTATGTCTAAATTCCTTTTTGTTTCAATGAAGCTCTAAATTTTCATCCTACTAAGTGGATTTATCTGAATTTTCGAAAAACAATTATCTCCTCTGAGCAGTCACCAAACCATGACGTTCGATCCTGATAACTATCTTTGGGCCTTTATGATTTCAAACAAATGGCATGCAAAAATACTTTATTTTACTGCCATAAATTTTATAGTAATAATTTTATTCATTAGAAATATCAAGTTAAACTTTAAACATATTTTAATGTATAAGGCTGGTATTTCATAATTGAAGTGCTTTGAATAATTTAGTGAAAAGCCACACTTTTTCCAAAAATACTGCTTTGTTTCCAAATAGTTACTTTAAAAATTTTCGAAATTTACACTAGATAGCAGCACAATGAAGAGAGGCATCTTTTTCTGCTTAAACATTGTGATGTTTTTTTTTCGTAACAAAAAGTAAGTTTACTTTATTAAGCGTACACACTTTTTATTTCGAAAAGCTAACACTAAACTAAAAAGAATATTTATGGAAACATTCCCAAAAAGTTATTACCAATATTTAAGTATTTTGCAGCTTTCTTTAATATCTTGTAACTGGTGTTAGTATAAATACCTTGTAACAATCTGATTTTAATAACTAAAAATTTGTTTCGATATTTTCAATTTCAGGTACAAGTATGGATTACCCGTCACTGGAATGTTAAATTTCACGGCTTTTTCTTTACATAGTCTTTACGCTCATTACGGACTACCTAAAAAGCCAGTACCAACAATGGATATTTACACACAGGTAATTCCGTTCAATATAAAGTTTTGAATTATGAAAATTGTGCGAGTGTACAATTTTTTCTCATCTACTCCAGATGTAAAATCATCCTTCAAATATATTTTAAATTTCTCTAGTTTTCTTTTATGCTGGGTAATCTCAAAGTTACTGGTGGATTTTGGAGGCTTATTGTTAGAGTTACTGCTGATTACTCCAGCGCCGTTTTATCCATTAGGCACTGTAGGCAACTGCCTAGGGGCCCCGCCACGTTCAGGGGCCCTGTGCTACAGAGAAAAAAATTGACAATGTTTCTTAAACAGTAAAAATTTAATTCGAAATTTCAATGACGATTGTCTTGCTCTGTACATTACATCGACGCTATTTTAGTACATTTCTGAACGCATTCCAAATTAGATATTAATATTATAGTAGTTAGTTCATATATAACGCAATAATATAACAGCAAGCAATTTTATCGCGGTAATTTTAACGCCGACTAATCAGATGAGTATACAGCAAGAGCAGCTTTTTTAACACAACACGCTTGAAAAACGCGCAAAATTCTACGTTGTGAATGCACAGTTACTGTTCTGGTACCTACCACAGGTATGTATATTCTATTGCCAAGCTACCAAAGAGTATGTAAAAATAAGGTTGGCAGTACTAGTTCTTTCGCCGCATGACTGGGAAATTCCCCGATCCGCTAAATACATACGTTGTATTGTGTCATAGACAACATTTTTAATGTAATCGTTGAATTTTCACTTCGTGCAATTTGTTTGCGAGTTTTACGGCTGTGAATGAATAGAGAGTTTTACAGTTTGTGTTTCAAAACTTACGAATTTAGAGCTAAGTATTGGATATTTATTTATAAAGACTGCAGAAGTGCTTCGGGCTTCGAGAAAATCGGTGAAACGACGAGTAAAAATCCGTGTAGTGTAAACTGAAGTTAAAATTACTATACGTAAGTTTTGTTATTTTTTTCATATTTTATTACCTAATACAGAACTTGACAAATGTGAAGTTTAAATTCATTGGCCATAATGGCAATTGAAAATGATGTATTGGAAAAGGTTAACTTTCAGGATGTCTTGAACGATTTTGTAACACTAAAAGTTAGAAGAGTTAATATTTAAGCTTATTGTATGATTTTTTTTAAATGCATATATTAATTACTTATATTCTTTTCGTTTGATTCAATATTTTTATTGAATAATGTGATAATATACCTATGTAGTAAAAAACAGCGTAATTATGAATAAAGTGTTGTGTTAGCGAAAAAATATATTAGGAAGTTAGAAGACGGTAGGGGGGGGGCGAGACGAGCATGAGCCGGCCCTGCATGTATCGCAGACATTTATTTCCGACCTAACTTTAGAGAACATTCAAAAAAAGTCAATGTGGGTCAATTCAGTCAATGTGGGAAACATTCTTGGGAGAATCAGAGCTTTTCTCAAAGTTACAGGAAGTTTTTTGAGACATATAGCTAGAGTTTCAGTAACTAACTATATATCGCCAGACCTTAGAAAACATTTAAAGGACATTCAATGTGGGAAACATTCTTGGGAAAACTAGAGAAATATTGCAATATTTTTTAGAAAAATTATCTAATTTTAGTTTGTAAATTTTAAGTTTAAATGATTTGACGTAAATGAAATTAAAAAGGAAGGGATTGAAGAAGTTAAAACAGCATATTTACATTAAAATTATATTTTTACTATGTGCCTGAGAGCGGGATTCACAACTATTTTTAGGCGAGGGTTAAATTTTTTTAAATTGAATAAGAGTCAAAAAAATTTAATTTGGAACAAAATGTCAGAAAAATATAACAATGCTATAACATCAAATTTTGTCAAATTCTTGCGTGTGTGAATATTTGGAATATTCATTTCTGCGTGATAAGTGGAGACAAATCACAAAATGAAAAAAAAAATTGGAGGATGATGTAATAAGCATCACACAAGTAGAGGAATTATATGATTGCTTTGAAAATGGCCTGTTGAACAACATGGAAATTAGAAGTGGAACGTGAACCACGTACTGGTAGGTTTACAACAAGCAGAAACACAGCGAAACGCGCAACACATGGAAACGAACTCAAGCAAGGCATAACAGAAGTTGATAAAATTGATAAAATCATTTAATAGTCAAAAATCATTTAAAATCATTAATCAGTTGATAAAATCATTTAGTACATTTCACAGAGATTTAAAAATATAAAATTAAATTTTCGTTTTTTACACAACTAAAAACATGCATATCTATTTCAACGGTGTATAACAAATCATTCATTTAAATCGCAATAATTCATAAACAACAACTCTTAATTGTGAAAGCAACTTCTATCGATAAAAAAGCTCGCCAATAATTTGAAAGGGAAAATAATTTACGTTTTGTTTGAATGAGGGAGAATTTAGTGTAAGCGTATTCTATCATAGGTGTTTAGATTTATATTACACCTTTTATTCGTATATAAGCGCTTGATATGGTGTTAACCAGGAATAAAGTGTTCCTTCACACAATTTTTTGAGTTGTTCAGCACCATATTCGATAAGATATTACTCCACAGTTTTTACAATGCAAGATATATATCTACTAATATTCGTAAAATTCCAGACTTCAAGATAAAAAAATTATAGTTGAATACTTTTCGAACAGACCTTATTCATTTAAATTTTTAAGGTACTCTCTCATTCATCATTTTATCAATTTGACCAAAAACTTTAAATTCCTACTAAGATTTTACATTCTTTTCTAATGACTCTAGTGTGTCTTTGGGTACCAAACATCAAACTTTATTGCATCTGAATGATAAAATACACAGTAGGTAGCAGAAATTCAAAAAAAATAAATAAATAAATAAACTTAATTATTTCAGATTCATGGCTGCTACCAAGTTGATTTATATGTGCCTTTAATTGAACCAGGGAATGTTTATACTTATTCAAAAATACAAATATCTGCACAAGTTATAGAAGACGGAACAGGTAAGAAACATGGAATATTCCATTTATATTCTAATTTCTTTAGGAGAAAGCCAGCTTAGTGTGAAAATTGAGCAGCAAAAGTTTGAATTTCGAAGGCAATTAGGCAATTAGGAACTGATTTTTATAGGCAATTAGGAACTGATTTGTGATATACACTATCTGGCCATTAATGACCGGACACCCCTCATTTCGGATACATGAGGTGCTAGTATCAAGTCAGTAGGGCGTAGGGCCGCCACGCTCCCGAATCACAGCTTTAACCCTTCTAGGAAGGCTATCCACTAGGTGTTGGTACACGGCGGCAGGTATTGCCCGCCATTCCTCCTGTAACATGGCGAAGAGTTGAGTGGTGGTTTTGGGGCGTTGTGGTCTGGCCCTCAACCGGCGCTCCAACTCATCCCAGAGATGCTCAATTGGATTGATGTCGGGACTTTGGGAAGGCCAGTCAAGCTCTTGCACCCCCATTTCATCAAACCAGTCCGTGATGGCATGTGCTTTATGAATGGCAGCGTTATCGTGTTGAAACACAAACGGGCCATTACCGAACTGTTGCCACAGTGTGGGAAGTGCCGAATTGTCCAGGATGTCTCTACACCCTTCTGCGTTCAGGGTTCCACGCACTAACACCAAGGGTCCAAGGACAAACCATGAGAAACAGGACCACACCATAATTCCTCCACCGCCGAAATTCACAGTGTCGGGTCATTAATGGCTAGATAGTGTACTATGCCATTCCGTTTTTACCATCCTTATTATGAACTTTAGAATCCATATCAAAAATGTAATAAAACAAATGAACAGATAAAAATATGTATAATATAAAAGTCTCTCGTAAAAGTCTTTCAGAGCAATATTGTAATAATTTTTCTTAATAATTTTTTCGTAGTCTTATCTCAGTCAATAATCTTAACAATATTTTACCTTAAGCTTATTCTATGATAAATTTGCAATATTTATTTGATCTAGATAAATCTAGAATCATTATAGATTTGTAATATAAGGCCACTTTTGGGTTGACTATATTTTTAATGTCTTTAATGCTCATACTCTTATATGTTATAGCAAAAATACTTAATTTTTCTTATTAAAGTTTTAATTAAATATTTTTAACCTTTCTTAATTGACATTTTTTTAAAAAAATAATTGGAAAAATTGTTTTTAAATTTCCAGTTATGTATAATATCTGTTTTCATATATTCTGAAAAACAAGTAGTTATATTCTATATATTATTCTATATATATTCTAGATATATTCTGTGGTTATATTATTAGAAAATATTTTTACATTTGGTAAAACTAAATTTTAAAAAATATAACTATACACTTAAATTTTAATTAACTTTTAAGCACATTTTAATATTATTTTTAGGTAGCTTTTTAAAAAATCGTTTTGTATATTAATTTATACATTAATTTTTATATTAATATATTTTTGTAAAAAATTACATGAAGAATAGTTAAAATGCCTTAATAAAAAAATTTGAGAAATTATTTTTTCAAATATTCAAGTGGGAAATTATTTTTATTGAAAACTTATATAAAAATAAAGTTTTTCTTACATAAAATTTAAACAAAAATTTTTTTTGAACTTTAGGTTGAAAAATAGAAAAGCCATTTTGTTTTCCAAACTCTTTTAACTCTATTTTAAATAGAATTTTCATATTTTAGGAGCAAAAATGGAGGTAAAACAGTACTTAGAAAGAACAACAATGCCATTAATACTAGAATTTTTTGATTCATTAGAATACTATAAACCTGGTATGCCTTACAATGGAAAAGTAAGTTAGTTGTTTAAATTTTTCATTTCTACCAAATGTAACTGCATATATTGTTTAAAATCCAATACAACTCCGCAAGTTTGACAAGGTGTTACTTCAAACGCATCACATACGAAATAACTGAAATTCTTTAAAACATTCTTCTGAATATTCAAAAATTCCTAATAAAAATTACTAAAATAATCTTTGAGGTTTCTAGTATGATTCCATTAAGTTGAACTGTGCGATACATGCTTACATAAGTAAAAGTTGAATCATTATGAAGTTACTATAAATCTCATTTTGATTGAGAAAGTGTTTTAATTTCACTTTTTGAGACGGGTGTTTGAGATTCTAAGTGAAACTTTAAACATTGAGTGCTTTTAGTCAAGCATTTAAGCAATGAGCCATTAAACATTGAGTATTTTACTTAAATATCGAAAAAACTGGAAATTCAGCTAGAAATATTCAATGTAAAATTGATACTAATAATAATTTGCTTAAAGTAAGCATGAAAAAACACCTAGAAAAATTTATGATGGATATATATACACCATATAGAATGACAATAAAATTAATGCCTATAACAGGGGTGACCAAGCTCCTTGATAGTCGAGCCATTTTTCAAAATTTGAAATTTTTCGCTAGCACAATTAAATACGTATTTAAAAGGTATGCAAAAAAGGTATTAAATTCTTTTTTACATAAATTATATTTATTGAAAACATTTAAATAAAAATACAAAATATGTGTATTGAATTTAAATATCAAACACATTTATTTTACTTCTCTTGATAATTCTATAAAATTTAGTGAATAATTGGTGGCAGCACTTCTCAGTAATTCTTTGAGATGCTGGTTAGTTAATACTGATTGGTGTTTGGATTTCCCGAATTTTAAAGTGGAATAAAATGATTCACATAAGTACGTTGTTCCGAATATTGAAATAATTCGACAAGCTGCCTTTTCTAATTCAGGATACTTCGGTTCTGGTACAAATTTCCAAAATTCAGTAATCGACGTTGACTTATATTTTAACTGTAGAGCTTGATCTTCTTGCATCTCTATTAATTCTAATTCTCCAGATGCTTATTGTGTCATAATTATATTGGAAATTGAAAACTCACCTTGAATTGAACAACGTTGCTCTTAGTTTTTCATATTTGCTCTCAGTAATGTAAAAGACATTTTGAAACACATACGGAACGGTAATAATTTAAAAGGGAACTCGGATACATTTAACGAGAGCCACAAATAATCCTTCAAAGAGCCGTATGTGGCTCACGAGCCGCAGGTTGGCCACCCCTGGCCCATAATGCTATATTTGTATCATCCCTTAGTGGACTAATCGTAAAGACACTTCTCCCAGTAGAACATCGAAGTCAAGCCTCGCTGGCTACGGTCATTAACCACTTTGATAAGCCTGACCGCTTTGATAACCCTGAGTTGGAACAGAAGGTGTGCGGTATCGGTCCTAGTTAAATTGTTCTACCATAAAATCTTCTATCTAATAGACTTCGCGCACAGGTCGTCAGGCTTAATAATAATCGGATTTATTACTTTAACATATACATCCTATAGAATCGAAATGAAATTAATGCCGTAAATATAATATATTTCATTGTAATAAAGTTTTATAATGATTACTTGTCATAATTATGATGTTAATTACAAAAGAAATATTCACACAGCTTAAAGTACTGAAACCTGACAATACTCCTGCGGAAAATGAGACTATAGAAATCTGTACTTGGATCGATAAAGAACGCAGTATTGCAGTATGGTATGCCATGAGGGAAATTGAAATTTGCTCAAATTTTACATCCAATTTGAAGGGAGTTATTCTATACACTTTTCTGCCACAAAATCTGGAAGATGTTTCGATAACTTTAAAGGTAAGATGGGAAAAAAAATTATAGTGTTTTAAAATACAAAGCTGTATTTAATGTGTTTATGACCAAAATCTTGACTTTATTTTTTTACTCTACTTTTAATCTATCTGACTTTTATTTTTTTACCTTTTTCATTTCTTTAACATTTAAATAGTTTGCAAACTTGAAAACTTAAATATATAATTAAGTATTATAAAGCCATGTATTATAAAAGCCGAGTTAGCCGAATACCATAAAATTAGCTATTATAAAACCATGACAGTGCTTTGGGTATTGTAAACAGGTACGGACAAGCACATATTTCGTTACAAATTTCATTGTTAACTATGAAAAATAACCAACGCCATATCGGTAAACTAAATATAAATGTCATATCGGTAAAAAATATGTCTTATTTGATACTAACCGAATACCTATTCTTCTTATTGAGTAAAACAGGAAATAATTCATAAATTAATATAATTTATCCATTCTGCAACCCCGTGCACAAAATTAAGAAGTTTATACCAACATAATTAAGAAAGCTAAGTATTTAAAGAAAATATTTATTTATTATTTGTTGTCAGAGACTTTGTTATTAGATTAAGAAAATACACGTTTTTAGAAATTGATTTCTTCAAAATAGAGTCATCTGTGTAATTTTGAAAGACGCTATGGCTCGCAATGATATTTAAATGGTATTTAAAATTTTACACAATAAAATTTTTTCCAGTACTTAACGTACGGCGATAGGTCTTTTAAGTTTTTTCGGGAGGCCGTGAATTTTAATTTTTAACAATTACAGATCTCTTTAAAATATTGATTTTTCAGAGAAAAATCTTTCAGCAGTTGTCAAGCAACGGAAGAAAACTAAAAGAAAATTTCTTTCAACCTTGGTTCATTTACCACAGAGTGTGCCTAGTCAACGTAGACAATATTCGCTATTTCTTAAGCTTAAAAATTTCCTCTTATTAGTTAAAAATAGCCTCATCTTTTCATGAATAATTATGTATGTAGAAATTTTTCAACATGGGCAGTAGAATTTTTTTTTCGGAATGATAATAGATTGGGGTGTTCCTCGGGACAAATAACAGTTTTTCTGAAGTAAGCTTATCATGAACTATAACAGAGACTCTAATCAGCTGCTCTGGAAAGTCTGCTCAACTTTAATAGGTGGTGTTATCAATGAAACTTAAAGAGTAACGATTTTTATTATAGTTAAAGTTTCGAAAATAATTGATAATTTGTAAAGTGGATTTTGGAAAAATAGAAAGATACGGAATTGTATGGTTCGTTGTGTGCAGAAAGTCATCGTTATTCTCACCAAGTTTTAAATAAGATAAAAATCGCTTAAACAGATGGCGCTACTAGCACAATATTTTATCGTGTTATAAAATTAAGATCTACAACTCATACATCAACAGCTGAAACAATTTTCAGCCATTTTGTTGCGGTTGTATTAAGTTGGCCTGCGTAGGAAACGAAGAGTTATTCTCATCAAGTTACAAAATTGATTAAAAAATTGTTTGACAGTCGGCAATTCTAGCGCAATCTTTTGATAGGATTATGTATTAAAACGCGAAAAGCGAGCAGCTGTAGCAAATACGTATAACACAGAGTTTCCCAAAAATTACCGACTGCTTGAAAAACCAATGCAGTCGTATTTAGTTTGTCTGCTTAGGTAGCAAGGTTTATTTTCATCAAAATTCAAAACTAGTTTTAAAAATATCGCCAACAGATGTCGCTTTTCAGGTGAAAAAGCATAAAAACAGCTTTTCTACAGAATGTCAGGGAATTGGAACTGAAATACATACACGGGTATATGTTAGTTTTGTCTGTAACTGTGACACGTCGATGATGCAAATGGTGGCTATTTTGAAAACATTGTTTCATAGTTATATTTCTGCTATTGATCTAAGCCATTTTTTTTGACGGTCTTGCAGCTAATTTCAGAAATTGGAGAAAATAAAATCGCTGATTTTTTAGCAGCACCCGTCATTTTTTCTATGATTCAAATCTTCGGTAACTTTTGAGACACCCAGTGCCGTACTTGTACTCTCTTTCAATGGTAAAAGAATGATGTAGTTCATAGAGTTATAAAAATGTGAAAACAGCTATGTTTATTTTAGCATAACTTCGATTTTAATTTGAGCTGAACTCTTTCCTCAGGCTAAGTCGTTGGCTTATTTACCCCAAAACTCAAGTGATACTACTTACAGAGCAAGTAGTCTAGAGCAACCAGCAGCTACAAAGCACTTAAAAGCATATTATTCACCCACTAACAGCTATATTCAGATCCAGGCTTTTCACCAACCAGTTAAGTGTGGCACAAAGCAAACTTTAAAAGTTTTTTACACAGCAGATGAAAGTTCTACAGACTTCCAGTTTTTTTATCAGGTAAATAATTTATCCTTTGGTCTGATGTATTGTCTTGATCTAATGTTGATAATTGTTCCAATTTTAATATTCTAAGTATTTTTCATTCTCTGCTTATTTTGAAAAAAATCTTATGTTTTCATTAAATAGAAACATTCATAACACTTAATCAAAGAACTTAACTCTAGAGAAATGAATGATGCCAATTCGGCCGTTGTTTTGTTTCTCTGTAATTCAAAAAATAACTTGCTAAAAAATTGAGTACTTCTGACTTTTGCATAATTTGATTCAATTTAAGTGCTTATTTAACCATTCATGTGTAAGCCCTATAGAAACGCATACATAGAACCTCATGCCTAAAATGACTGGAAGAGTCAGAGTGGTCCCTTGGGTATTTTGGTAGATATCCCATAACCCCAGACAGGTTTAGGTATAAGGTACTTTTTAAAAAGTATTAAGTACCCCAGTTATAATTTTAAAAAAAATAACATTTCCATAATAGTTGTTTATAGAGAATAGGAAACAATTATCTAAATAAGATCAATTAAAGTGCTTATTGAATCATTCATGTGTTTGACTTACAGAAACTTATACATAGAGCTTTATACCTGAAACAACTGGAAGGATCAGAATGGCCCCTTAGGTATTTCTGTAGTTAACCCATAGCTTCAGGTAGGTATAAGGTACCCATTGGAAAGTATAAGCTACCACAGTTTCATTAAAAAAAAAATATCTATAATTTCTCTTTATCGAGAAAAGAAAACTCAATTATCTAAAGAATCTAACGCATAATTAAAAAGAAAGTGTTCCGTTTATCAAATATTTTTACTAACCGAATCGAATAAAATACCCTGAAATTTCGATTATTAAGTCTATATTAAGTTTTTATTAAATTAATTAAAACAGATTTTATGATTTTGTGTGTTTATATGATCTACACACGAAAGATCTTGAAGAGCATACATTGGCCCCTTCAGTCTTACTGGTGTATAGCAATGTTTCGTCTTTCTAGTGTTATAGTGTTATAAAAATAATAGTGTAAATAATAGTAAAAATAAAGTGCTAGTGATATAAAAATAATAGTAAATACATCCTGCTTTAAAAAAATTATTCGAAAATGTCTATTTAAGGAAATGTAAGCTACCATGATTTGATACTACCGGGACAAAAAAGAGCACCGAAACCTGTTTGATTGATATTCGAAATTTCAAGTAACCAGTTAAGCACTTTTGAAGTGTTTATACTTCGGACCAAATTTCTATTGCAGTGCGTAGAACGTATGTACGTTTCGTTTAAAAGTTTAAAAAAAATTGCAATTGACTGTCAAAACTCAAAACTTTTATTAAATGCAATTAGAATATTATTCAGTGGTATGTTTGCTTTATACAATCTTTATGTTCACTTTAGTGGTATGTTCACTTTATACAACCTATAGAAGTAATGAATATTTTATATTAAGAGTTCAAAGCATGACGTACGTAAATTAAGATTTAGACGGCAAACGTTTATTAGCGAAGAAATTCCGTAAACAAGTAGCAGGGCAAATATTGAAATATTCTTGAATTGAGGACATGAAGCTCTTGGACCGAAACATTCCATCCAAAAGTTTTCTCTTCTCGTATTATTCTTTTACTCTATCTTATGTATTTTATTATTTTTTGACAAGTTTCTAATAACAGTAACCTCTTCAGAAAACTTATCGCTAACTCTCTCTTGAGAGGTATTATTCTTTTATAGCATTTTATGTGTCATATTGCATTTTATGTGTCGTATTATATTTTTGGTAATGCCTAACGAGTTTCCAATAACAGTTTCCAATAAGAATACTTCTCACTCTCACTTTCACCTCGTATTGTTCTTTTATTACAACTCATGTATTTTATTTTTTATATTTTTTTGAAAACTTGCAGCAAGTTTCTAATAATAGTATCCTCTTCAGAAAACTCTAACTCACGCTCTTTTTCACCCGTCTTCTATTTTTTCCCCACGTGTTATTCTTGTATAGTATCTTATAAGTTGATTATTTTTTGGCAATTTTTAAGCAGAATCTAAAAATTGTAACCTTTTTCAGAAAACTTCTCACTCACTCTCTCTTTTGCTTTGTATTATTCCTATTATATAACTTTTTTTACAATTTTAAACAAGTTTAAAAACAGTAAAATTTCCAGAAAAACTCTTGCTCACTCTTCTTCACCCTTTCATCACGTCTTATTCTGATAATATAACTTATGATTTTTATTAATTTTTGACAATTTTACCAAATTTCTAATAACAGTAACCTCTACGGAAAACTTTTCATATTATTCTTACATTACTATTTAAATATTTTATTATTTTTTGACAATTTTTACTATGTTTCTAATAACAGTTAGCTCTTCAGAAATGAATTGTAGTTTTTTTTTATTAAATAAAAAGGTCATCCTTTTTTATCCTTCGTAATTTAATAAGGAAACATTCAATACCCACACTCGCCATTGCTTGCTTTAAATTTTACCCTCTTCAGTGGTTTTTAAAAATTGAATTTAATGCTTAGCCAGCTAAAGAAACTTGTATTTTTTTTTAATTTTACTTCGTTAAATAATGATTTGTCAAATTTGTTCCTCAATTACTCTAATATTTTTTTAATATTTCTAATCAGTACTTATTTATGCTACATTTAAATTAGCATTATTTATTTAGATCATATATCAAGAAGCTGTAATGCTGGAAGACTCCGTTACTGAAAGTTATAAACCTCAAGCTGACATTTTTAAAAAATTCAAGAATTCCAATGCAGTTATCAAGGGAGAGGAATTTCAAATCGAACCAAGTTCTGCCGAAATAGGAAATCAGTCTAATGCTGAATTTCTTAATTCTTCTTTATATACACCAACAAAGTAGGTTAATTTTTATTATTATGAAGTTTAAATAAAGATGCAATTAATAGTTTTAGCTGCTCAAAGTTAAACTTTCAATGCCAAAAAAAAAAAAAAANAAAAAAAAAAAAAAAAAAAAAAAAAAAAAGAATGCTGAGAAAATCTTTTAGGGTATATAAAGATAAAACGGACTCAGCTTGAGACCGACATGGACTCGAGGCCGTTATATGAGGGAAGCTTTCGAGCTCGGATAGGTTCGGGCTCGTGTTAAAGTTTTCGTGTACTTTCTTAGGACTTCCAAAATAAACAAATTTTAAAAAATCTGTTGGTTAAAATGCAGAAATGTTTAAGTAATTATAAGGTTTAAAAACTTAAGAAGTATTCTATCTGTATGTTAGTAATCAATAATATATTTACTTGAAATTTCCCTTTCGTAAAATTTGGCCTTCTGTTACTTGAATTTCGGACTGAGATGGGCTCGAACACAAAAAAAAAACTTCGTGATCTCGGGAATGAACACCTAGCTCTGACACTGAAAAATCCTAGTGATCTTGGGCTTGGGGGGCTTAGATATAAAACCTTCAGACTCGATTGGATTTGCACCTCAAAAAGTTAACCCGAACTCCTTTATGGTAGTTATGGCTCATTGTTAAGGATCGAGAATTGCTGCAACCTATGACCGAAAATGCCGTTAGCCCTTAGGTGGTGCTCTACATCTAATTACTGTAATTCCACTGTGCACCTAATGGTACTGTGTAGATGCTGTTAGGTGTTTCCCAATAAATGGTAATTTATTCATCTATAACTCTTAATATTCTATAGGCAAAATTCTAATAAAGAAATGTTCCCATAGCTGTATGGCAAAGGTGCACCATGGTCTTTGGAAAATTTTTTTCGCAAGCTATAAGCACACCTTAGTTTTATGGCGAAAATTCGTCATGTAAAAACACCATGGGATATCCCTATGAAGAAAAGAAAGTAAGTGCATGTCAAGATAAGGAAAAAAAAGTGTAGGGAATACCGATCTAATGTAAATCGGGCAATTACCCAGAACCTTAAAAATATCTGTGTCGGGAATCCAAGTTAGTGTAAAGCGGGTAGCAGCCCTTAACATTGTAGGGAATATGTAGGAATATCTGGCAAGTATAAACTATTCAGTAGATTTTAACCTTTAAAAATATCAGTGCAGAGATTTCCGGGCAATTGTAAACCGGAAAATGTCCCACACATTCTAATCAGGTACTACAGTTATTTCAGTTATTATTAATAATAACAACGTTTTTAGAAAAACAAGATGATAAATGCACGTTAATAATTTTTCGGGTTACAGTTAACGGTATTATTTATTGTCATTATTTATTATTATACTAATATTAATATCTATATGAATTGCAAAGTATTTGTACAAAAGTTTCATTCTGTTTAAATGTTTTTAATTAACTGATTTAAAAATCAAAATCATCTCGATACATGTTATTTTAAGATTTTATCTTTCTTCCAGAGTTGCCAATTTGCTCCGGACAGCTAATATATATTTTAAAGTGGTAGTTTATCAATTGTGATTCTTGGTTTAATAAATTCGATTTAGTAGATTTGTATCCACCACTATTTCTACACAATTCGTAGGCTTATATAATTCCCCACTTTATAGTTTTAAAAAGACAGCAAAAATATTCAAATATTTGAAAAATTTACTTTGTAGTTATTTACCGTTTTCTTAATTACTTTGGAGTGTCCGGAACAATTGGCATCTCTGTTCCTCAGTAAATATCAATTAGCTTATATTTCATATTCAGTTACTGTGTTTACTTTCAGCTATCAACCTCATCTTGGAAAAGTAGAAGTTACAATACAGATTCGTCAGTATCTCGCTCCCGAATTTGTTTTCCTCATATATTACATAAAAGACAACAGAGAAATAATTGCTGATTCTATGAAAATCGCAGTTGATAAATGTTTTAAAAACAAGGTAATCTAAGCCGATTAGAAATCAAAAATACAAAAAGTAAAGCACAATATATTCTAAATATAAGAGATAACCAATACTATATATTGAAAATAACCGAGCTGAATCAACAAAACAAACCATATTGTTGATAAATATTTTAAGTTAAAAGTGCAAATAAATTATATTTGAAATTAATACAATTTATCAGATAGAGCGCTCTTCTTCCTTTGAGGTGACCCACGTTCAAATACGCCTATGGTTGGATGGTACAAATGCTGCTCTTGGTTCGCACCGACCACTGTGCTGACGTAAAATATCCTCAGTGGTAGACGGAACATGAATTAGAATCTCCTTGCCATTGGGCTAACTGTGGACGGATTCATGACTTTCCTCTTCATGTAACACAAATAACGTAAATTCTGGTTAGTTAAATCAAAGGACGTACTCGCTAGTTAGTCCCATTGCTTGATTCAAGAGTTCCATTGTTTTTTGGGTTGGGTTCAAAACTACAAGGCTACGAAGTTGAGAATTGATAATCGTAAACTCAAAATTGGCTCTTCTGTTCTACACCGGTAATAAAAGATAAAAAAAAAAATAATTGCCGAGAAAAAGACAATCAATAATACATATGTTTAAAGTGAAATAACCAAGACATTGATTCAAAAAAAAAATTTTACTTGATGATAATTTAATGATTTGAAGGATAGAGTTTTAAAAATCGATTAGAAATCTATTAAACTAAATATAAACAAAACAAATCTAGATCCCTTATGATAAACAAGACAAACTAAAAATTGAAACATTCAAAATAAACGATAACTAATACAAAATATAGAAAAAAATCAATACAAAAAACTTATGAAACGTAACCAAGATATGCAAAAAAATTCATATTGAAATATATTCACTTTCGACAAAATTATATAAAAAAAAATTCTCATTCTGTGGCAGAAATTTAAACCACGTTTGTGGCTTTCTTTTAAGATAAATCATGCATTAATGTTTCCAAAAATGTGTGAAGCATTGAGAGAAATAACAGAAGAAAGTGTATTATGGATGAATAAGTTTGTTTGTTTTTTGTCGTATGCCTGTTTTTAGGCAGTGGGGGGTACGATTGTTCCTGTTTTTTAGTGACGCCATCTATGGTCAGGAATTCGACTTCTGCCACGCCATTCACACAACCACAACCAGTGGATGAATAAATGCCTTTCTAATAAATATGAGTAGTATATCATATGGTTTTAAATCAGAAAAGAATTTTTGCAGTCGTCTTATATTACATGTTATTCCTTCTATCTGTTACACAGTAAAATTTATCTGTTATTGCTATCATACAAATCTTAATTCAAATGCAAATATAATGTTCTTGTAGGTTGACTTCTTTTTTGGAGACAAGAAAAAAGAACCGGGATCAGACACCGATATCTACATCAAAGCATCTCCTAATTCTTTTTGTGGTATAAAAGCAATAGATCAAAGTGACACTATAGTTAATTCCGGGGATCAAATCACTCCGGACAAAGTAATGTAGAATTCGTTTAGTACAACAATTTGTGATAGATAAAAATGTTTTAAATTTTTGACTCAAAGTTCGAAATTCTTCTATAGCTTTACCAGTTGAGAACAAGTCTCTTTAATGACTATTACCGACCATCTAATCCATGTTATAGTGATATTAAGCAGCCAGGTTTGTCATGATTTTTCAACTTTTTCTCGGTTTAATATTTTGTTTATACTTTACCACCTACTTATTTAAATTATTTAATAGAAGTCCTCAATCGCCTTCTAGGATTTGATGTTAAACATTTAATCTTTGTATTTTTTCTGTTTTAAGTTTTTAAACTTTTGATTATGATTTTGATTTTGATTTTGCAATGGTAAATACTTTTCAAAAAAGTTGACAAATAAACTTTCATTTTTTTTTTTTTTTTAGATTTAAAAGAAAATAGCACATGATATTTCTCAGACCTCCTAAGGAACTTTAAAACTTTCTCTTAGAAATTTTCGTGTTTATAGATTTCGATATGTTGCACATAACTCTCAGAACTTCCAAGGAATTTTAAAAATTTCGTTGTGTAATAGGACATAATATCTCTCAGAACTTCTACGAAAATTTTTTTCAAATTTTTATTTAGAAGTTTTAGTTTAAAGTCATTTTTTATGGTTATTTTTGAATTTTAAGATTGAAAAATATTTTTCATTTGCAGAAATAAGAGATTTTAAATTTCTTATTTAAACTTTTGTAACAATCAAACATTTCTCATTGTTTAAGAAAAAGATTTCAACCATTTTTTAAAAAAAATCAAAAATATGGATGGAAATAATAATTTGTATTCCAAAACTTTTTTTAAAAGCAATAAGTTAATTTTCAAATATTTCGATACTCTTTATTGCAAATGTAACAAACGAAATGAGAATATATTGTATAAAAATGTAAAAAAATCACTAGAATCACTTTCACCAATTACTTTTTTGGGATTCAGAATCACTCGAAATTGACAAGCTGTGTAAACATAAAAAAATTTTACGCATCATATGGTAACCATGAAAAAAATTTTTTTAGAAGGATGAAAACAAAACATATGTAGAAGAAATTAATAGAGGGAGAATTGTGTGAACAATACTTCTTTTAGAAGGGAGAAATAGAGGACGAATCCAATTAGAAACGAAAACCGAGGGAGAAATCTGTGAGCAATAATTCTTTTACAAATGCGCAGTAGAAGACAAATCAAATTAGAAGCGAGAAATTGAGGGAGATATCTGTTAACAATATTTCTTTTAGAAGAGAAAAAATTGAAGACAAATACATACAATTAATAGCGAAAAATTGAGGAAGAATTCTGTGAACATAACTTCTTTTAGAAGGGAGAAATAGAAGACAAATCTAATTAGAAGTGAAAAATGGAGGGAGATATCTGTAAACAATATTTCTTTTAGAAGGGAAAAAATTGAAGACAAATACATACAATTAATAACAAAAAATAGAGTGATAATTCTGTGAACAATACTTCTTTAAGGAGGGAGAAATCTAAGCCAAATAAATCGAATTAGAAGCGAAAAATTGAGGAAGAATTCTGTGAACATGACTTCTTTTAGAAGGGACAAATAGAATACAAATCCAATTAGAAGCGAAAAATAGTGGGAGTATTCTGCGAATAATATTTCCTTTTGGGGCGAGAAATTGAAGACAAATGCAGTTAGAAGCGAAATATAGAGAAAAAAAATATGGGATATAATAACAAGTAAAGCCCTAGATAAGTTTAAGTTTAATCTCCTGGAAACTTAAGTGTTAATTTTTTAAACCACTTTCTCAAAAGTTTTTTACTGGCCTTTTTTCGGGTCCTTTTTATCTATAATTTTTTATCTCTGTATAATTTAATAATGATTAGTTTATCAGATTAATTCTTAATCTCTGCATATAATCAAGGAATAATTCAGTATTTAATAATAGAGTATTACGAACAGTAGCTTATTTATAAAAATTCAATATTAATTCGAGGAAAATATCGATCAAGTATCGATATAATATGAAAACAATTATTTTAATTAGCAATAAAAATCTTTGTTACATAGAACATTTTACATTTTTAGGTCTTGATAACAATGCATTCAAGAATATGACTCGACCACCAATAGGAAAATATGGCACTCCAAATTATGTGGATTCTTTTGCTGCATTTCAGGTAAGTATATCCCCCTAGCATATTGTGTTTAAATCCCATGCAAGATCACTTAATAAAAGATTACGAAACTTTCAATGCAACTTGAATCAGTGATATGATAATCAACCCGGTACAACTTAGTTCTAAAGCGTTTTACACAAAAAATCTGAAAACTATTTATCTAATGTTAGTGACTAATGCTATGTAACTAGAGTTTGGTCTCATATTTCCTGTAAATTACAAATGAAGTAGTACATTTAAAACATAACATTGTATTCATTGCAATTTGAATCAAAATTTAAATGCAAAACTTTCTTCAAAAGTTCGAATTTTCTATGGAGTCATTTATTAGAATTTATTATAAACACTAAATATATTTGGTTAATTCTAAATTTTCAAGAATTATGTTTTTTGAAGCTATCAAAACATTTCAGATAACAATAGCATAATAGATTATATTTCAGATAATAATAGATGTGTTTCCAGATAACAATACATGATAGATAACAATTACTCAAGCAACTGTTATCTATTTTTCTTCTCTATAAATAAAATAAGCATCGCAAGCTTACAGGATTTCTCCACTCTCCACCCTTTTCTCCTCTCTATTACCATGGTTTCGGCGAATTTTACTTTTCCACACTTCAGTATATTCCTGTTTCTTACTGAAATGTACTGCCATGGGAAAAAAATCAAAGTTTGCGAAATCCATGGTAACGAAAAGGGAGAAAGTGTGGTGAGTGAAGAAATCACGTATCCTTGAGAAGCTTATTCTATTTACAAAGGGCATGGGTACCAAAGTTCTTGATTGACTTTGAGAAAGTCGCTTCTGCAGTTCAGCTATCCAACGAAATTAACGAAATAACGAATCTACATCAGCTATCTAACGAAATTAAGTTTCAGTTATTACTTACTATTCAGTTACCAATATCCAAAATGTTGAACGCTATCAATTGTAACTGTATTTTATGAAGAAATAGAATTCTTGGTCTTAATATTGAATTGTTGCGCACTTTGAATTAGGATTCAAGTGTTCTGGTCATCAGTGATCTGTTCCTTGTTACAAGACCTTGCAAGAGGAACAAAAAGTATCCCGCGTCATACTATGATGATGAATACATAAACGAAGACTATTTTGGTCAAACTCCTGCTGTAGAATACACTTATGGAGATTATGGAACTGAAGATTATGAGACTTCTGGGTCGGAATCAGGTAGTTTATTTTATTTTTGTTTCTGATACATATTAATTCAAAGCATTACTTTAACTTCAATGTAAAGATAGATAGTGCTCCAGTAGCACAATCGGTAAAGGAGACTCTCACTTCCCTGGTGGAGAGCTGGGTTAAACCTCAAAAAAGTTAAAGTTCACGGCTGAAAGTCTTCTCTTTAATTGGGCTTCCAAGTTTGGAGAAAGGAGTGCCAGCTACTTCGCTTTTGTTCTCTATTTCGTCGAATTGAGATCAAAATTACGTAATATANATATTAATCATATATATATATATATATATATATAAAGTAGAAAATTTTTAATGGGAAAACGTAAAGGTTCTCTTCAGGACGCATTCCTTTGCGAGTGTTTTTGCGATATCAATATTTCAAAATAAAGAACAATTATCCTAAGAAACAAATTGCTCTTTATATTGCGTCTATGTCACTAAAAAATGGAAATGTAAATGAAAATAAGTTTGAGATGAAAGAAAGACAGCAGAAAACAAACTTACAGACGAGGAGTACAACTTAAAATGCCTTAAAAATAGATATACTAATATAACAGTTTACATAATTTCGCCAAGAAGAAAAAAATATAAAACAGTGCTTATAGCTAAAATGGTATGAAATAATTGTTAAAAATACATTTGGTAGATAAAATTATATTTCACTGCTGCCATCGATGAACTAAGCACTTTAATAAACAAATTTGGGAAAATTTAAGTTAAGGTGCTCTATTAGATTTAGATCGGGGTTCTGTGATAGCAAGTCTAATTATTGAACACACATTTCGTCATCTGCGCATGTCTCTATGTATTAGCGTCTCTAAGTGGGACAGTTATCCTGCTGGCAAAGAATAAATCCATAGATTTTGAGGGAGCTGAAATGCCCAGAATGACCCGTACATCCACGAGTTCATATTTCCAACCACAGGATCTTGGGTAACAAGAGCTAATCATCAAACCCCCACCACCACCACCAAGCGACTAAATCCTCTTTTTACCGGATACACTTCGTCAGACAGAGTAGACTTCATTATGTTTTCGTAAATTGACGCCGGAAGATTTTTATCAATGATGATAATCAGGTTTTCATCTACAATTTTAATTGCATTTTCATAAATTGCCATATCTTTTTCCCGACTGCAGTTTTGCAGCAAACTTCCCGAGCGAGTCATGATGGTTCAGGGAAGAGAGCTTTCGCTTTCCAATGAGGTGAACCGGGTTCGAATCCCAGCAATAGTTGATCGATACTAATTTCGCAACCACCTAACTCCGACCCACAGTGCTGACGTGAAATATCCTCTGTGACAGACGGATTATGTGTTAGAGTTTCCTTGCCATCAGGCTAACCGTGGGAGGTTTTCATTGTTTTTCCCCCTTCGTAACGCAAATGCAGGTTAGTTCCATCAAAAAGTCCTCCATGAAGACAGATTTTTCCAATATTTGATCCAGGAGTTCCCTTGTCTTGTGGATTGGGTTCAAAAGTACAAGGCTACAGGGTTGAGCATTAGCAGTTGTAAACCCAAAAAAGGGATCAGCTGCTCAACGACGGTAATAAAATTAAAATAAAACTTCCCGAGCGCAAAGATGTGTAATATAACTATAATAAACAAACAAATAAATAAAATATTTACTTTTACGCTAATAGAATATAAACTAAAACTTTCACTAATAGAATATATTTAAAAATAAAACGTAATTTATGTATATTTTGTATAACTTTGTAAATTATATGGTCATTTAAATTATTGCAGATGAACGGATGTATAGCGACACTCAGATTATTTCAGGTGCAAGAACAAATCCTGAAACTTGGTTGTTCGAAATGGATTTGACTGGGTGAGTTCATGTACTTGTAGAGAATCTTTCTGGTTAGACACACTTTTTTGTACTTAATCCATAGTTACGTAATATCTTATGTTAATTTCATACTTACAGAACATAATATACTCATAATCATGAATAGTAGTGCTTTCATTACTTTAAACGAAATTACTTATGCTTCTCTGTTTCCTATTTAATATGTTCTACTTTCATTGATAAGTATAACTAACGTAGAGTAAAAAAATTTTGTCGCTTCCGTTCCTATACAGCTTAATAACGACAATAATAATTCGCTGAATTTTTCCTCGCTATAATTATCAGTCAAGTACAATTCACTAGTCCGGATTGTTCCATCTTACTTCGATATTGCTGTCACTCTAAGAAATTTTCTCGGGATATTTCTGTCTCAGGAATATTTCTTTAGAGCATTTCCGTTTCACTGGGACATTTCTGTCACACTAAGAAATTTTGCTATAATATTTCTGTCACACTAGGAAATTTTCTCAGGATATTTTTTTCTCAGGAATATTTCTGTAGAGCATTTCTGTTTCGCTTATATATTTCTGTCACACTAAGAAATTTACAAAGGATATTTCTGTCTCGGGAATATTTCGTTACAATATTTCTGTCTCGCTTGGATATTTCTGTATTACTAAAAATTTTCCCAGGATATTTCCTTTGATTACTTCCGTTTGTCTAAGGTATTTCTGTCACACTAAGAAATTTCACAAAGCTATTTTTGTCTCAGAATAGGTATTTCTTTTGTGCATTTCCGTTTCTCTGTGATATTTCTGTCACACTAAGAATTTTTGTTGCAATATTTCTGTCTCACTAAGAAATTTTCTCTGGATATTTCTGTCTCAGGAATATTTCATTAGAGTATTTCTGTCTCACTAGGATATTTCTGTCACACTAAGAAATTTCCCCAGGACATTCCTGTCTCAGAATATTTCTTTAGAGTGTCCTTCAAGACTCTTAAAACAAAATCTTAAGTCCAAAGCAAACCGTATCTCAAGTAAAATTTGCTTATTCACTCAATCACATTCCGTTACATATATCTGTCTCGAATATTTCTTTTTTGAAAAAAGTCCTAAATAATTCGTATATATAGTATGCTGCGTGGTTAGTTTTACACCTCTGTGACTTATATTTTTTCTTATGCTTGAATAAAATCTATAATTTTTCTTTCTGAGTAATGCAAAGAACGTGCTCTTGGCGGTGCTGAAGAACAATTCAAATACGGACTTTATATGTTGATCACAAATTTTAATTCTAGGAAATTCAATGTACTAATGCATTTCAATTCAAGAATGATTATTTTTTCAGGCCAGATGGTGCATTTATTACTAAAAAACAATTACCAGACACCATAACAGATTGGGTAGGAAGAGCAATTTGTTTGAATCTTAAAGATGGTCTTGGAATATCCAACGACACCTACATTTCATCTTACAAATCATTTTCCATTGATTATACTCTGCCATTTTCTATAATTAGAGGAGAAGAATTAACACTAGTCGTAACAGTATTAAATTATGAATCTGGTGCATTGCCAGTAAGTATAAAATTTTTACTTACATTTTATCTGTTGCTTACATCAGGTACAACAAGTGGTAAAGAATGAAAGACTTCATGACTAAGCAAAATGTTAATAAGTTACAATTTCACATATAATTGCTTTTGTTGAAACTTAAATTTATTTATCTTTGCATTAAAAATATTATTGGTTTCACTGATAAGCATTAAAATCATAAAATTACAATCTTTACAACTTATTCAAGTCACTTGACTTGTCTAATTCACATTAAAATTGAATACAAAGTGTACTATAATCACTGCAAATTTTAGAGCGCTAGTCAAAAAGTCGAAAACAGAAAACACAAAAAGAATTGGTCGCAAAAGAATATTTATAGAAAAAAATATAGCTGAAATGCCATCAAAATCTCAAATTTTTTTATTAAAGAAGGTGGAATTAAATATAACAAAATCTGTATTGTTGCCAGAGAAAACAGTAAGGAATTGATTGCTGATTATTATTAAAACGTATTTAGGATTCAATTGGCATCTAAACATGTATTGGTGTTTTTCAGATTCTGATATCACCTTAGCTTTTACCAGGTTTAAATAGCATTTTTCAACCATCAATGGGACAAATTGTTTGAGATCATTTTCTTTCAAAATGATTTAAGCGTAGTGGTGACCATTTTAGAATGCATCTCGTGGTACAACTTAAGAGCGTATTGATTTTGTAAAATATGTATTCAGTGCAGTGAGGACGCTTTTGAGAATATGTCTTGAAAGAGTAAATAGTACAGACTGTAGAGATTAATGATTTCGTAAAATCTGCATTCAATGTAGTAAGGATGCTTTCTGGAATATGTCTTGAAAAAGTAAATAGTACAGTAATAGTCATTATTGGTCTTGTAAAATATGTATTTAGTACAGTGAGGACGCTTTCGGGAATATGTCCTGAAAGGGTAAATAGTACAAATTTTAGAGATTATTCGTTTTGTAAAATATGTATTCAGGGCAATTAAAATTGACCCCATACAAATTTGAGATAGACTGTAAAGTTTTGCCACAAAAGCCATATTCTGATTTTTTGTGGTAAAGGTAAACGGCATAACGTATACGCTAAGGTAAGCTAACTAAACTGAGCTAGAATATTAATCTGTCGTGAAAAAAATGAAAAAAAGAGGAAATGTTCCTTACATTATTTCGGCTTAATATAGTCATGTATACCCATAAAAGACCATCTCCTTAAGCATATTTGCATATATAGCAGAATCCTTTATTATTTTTTTTTAATCATATAAATGAAAGTGGCAAAATGTATCCGCATGCAATGTTTGGAGCTACTCTTAATGCATCAGTTTGTATTCCTATAGGTTGCCATTACGGTTGATAATCCTGGATTCACAAAGATTTCAAGCAATAAAGAAGTATGTGTAGATCCAGAAGGTAAAACGACATTCCCAATCGTATTAAAAGCTTCTGAATTGGGAGAAGTTAATGTAACAGTTCGGGCTGAGACAACTTCAACGCACGGTATCTGTGGTGGTTCGTCAATATCAAATACCAATGCTAAAGATACAGTCACCAAACCAATTCAAATTATGGTACAGTAAAAGTTTTAACTTCATTTCAATAAGACATTGTTCTTTTTTTTTTTGATGCGGACTTATCTTGGAAGATACCAATTATCGTGAATTTTAAGGATTAATTAAAATTAACTATTTAAAAGACAACTAAGCAGAAAGTTTTTAAAAAGTTAGTTTTTACAGTTTAAAGAAATGTAAATCTAAAATATATCATGCTGCCATGCTGTATGAAAACTTTAGATTCACATTTTCCTAAAAATTTATTCATATATTTCTACTTTATAGGGGAAGAAACATTACTGTTACGATTGAAAACATTTTTAAACTAAGTATAAATAAAATATAAAAGAAATGTAAATCTAAAATAGTTCATTGCGCTATACTGTATAAAAACTTTAGATTTACATTTCCTTGAAAATTTATTTAGATATTTCTACTTTGTAGGCTGAAGGGTATCCTGTAGAAAAAGTAATAAGCATACTAGCTTATCCATCAAGTATGTCATTGTAACAAGATAATATTATAAAATAATANTATCATGCTGCCACACTGTATAAAAACTTTAGATTTACATTTCCTCAAAAGTTGATTCAGATATTTCTACTTTATAGGAAAAGAAACATTACTTTAACGATTGAAAACATTTTTTAACTAAATATAAATAAAATATAAAAGAAATGTAAATCTAAAATAGTTCATTGTGCCATACTGTATAAAAATTTTAGATTTACATTTCCTTGAAAATTTATTTAGATATTTCTACTTTGTAGGCTGAAGGGTATCCTGTAGAAAAAGTAATAAGCATACTAGCTTATCCATCAAGTATGTCTTTGTAACAAGATAATATTTATAATTTAAGATAATATGTCTTAGATAATGATATGATAATAGATAATCTTTCTAATGTAATATAAGTTAATATGTCTAAGATAATGATAAGATAATATTTACTATAATTCCTTTGTATAAGATAAAAACATAATGGTATAACACAATTTTTCATTGTAGTCGTTGCATTTTTAATGGTCGAAAAATCACATGAAATGATACAGTTTTCTCAAAATGATTTACATGCTACTTTTATTTTATATCAGCATTAAATTATTAAAAATCATTAAGTTATTGTTTTCCTATAAAATATTTTTGTGTCCTAAATTTAAAAGTTACCTGTAATATATATTTTCTTAATTTTACACTGCAATTAATACGCTTATGACTTCATTTGTTATCTAAATTAAGAGTTTAAAACTTAAAAAATTTGTTCTATTATAACATCGTTATATCATTATACCTTATTATACTACATTTTAAGAAAAATTTATTTAAATCAGTGTCTTAGCTCATTGGCCTTTTTGCAATTATTTTTTTTGTGTGAAAACTACATTATTACACTATTGTAAATTGCAGTTAAAGATATTCGAATTTAACTATCATCTTCATACACAATGTGATGCATGCCAAATTGTATTTAATATATCAGCTCGTTTGGGTAATCAAACATGTGAAATTACGTCTGTGAACTCACCGAATTTATTATAACAATATACCGTTAATTTTTAATGTTATTTTAAAAAAGTATTACTGAGCAAATTTATTAATTATAACTTGTTCTCTAATAAATATTAATTGCGAAGTAACAATTATTGCGAATCTTAATGGCGAAGTTGCAATTATCTATGTGACAATTATGGCGAAGTTATCCTGTTTGTTGCATTATTATCCAATTTTATGTTTCATTATTAACCAATGCCATGTTTTATTATTATCCGTTGTTTCATCATTTCCAATTTAAGACATTACTTACCACACTAGAGGGCTCCGCTCTCGAGAGGGGTAATAGTATCTTAATTTGTAAATGAGACACCCATAATTTTCAATAATAAAATCATTTCTTTCAATCAAAGACTATTATTTTTAAACAAATTTAAAGAACAATTCCTTAATATGCGATCCTATGAATAATCGAACTTTAATCAACCCCCTCCCATTAACTGAATTCTGTATATAAAACCACTTCGAATGTTTAATAAAAGTGCTGGTCTTTAAATTTTTACGTTATGGCACTCGGACTGAATTTTAGTTTTTCAAAATTTGGTCAAAATTTAATGTTTTGCTGGGAGCTGCTAAGATTGTTTGATAACAGATTAAGTCAAGAGATTTTTTCGTTACTATAAGACCATCCTATTGTTTGTTTCCAAAATTACCTCAAAATCTGCAGTTTTACTGGATGCTGTTTTAACGATTAGGTAATCGAGCTATGTTTTTCGTAACTATCAGACAGATTCTTTTAAAAAAAATTAAAACAAAATTAACAGCTTTACTAGAAACTGTTAAGATTTTTAAAACAAAATACACTTTTTTTGTAGTATTGTAGAAAAATTAGAAAATGAGCATAGACTGTGTAAATAATAAGCAAAATAATAAACTAAAAATGTACTCATAAGAAAAAACTATCCATTAAAATAATTTGCCTGAGTTAATATTTATTTTGAAAAATTAGAAAGCTGAAAGAATCAATTGTAATTTGCTAGATTTTCACTAACAACAATTCTCAATTGTAGCATGTCATGGAGCTTAAAATTGCTGTCCAATATTTAAAATATATTTATTCAGTGCCACCAATATTTGCAATAAAAGAAACGAAGGAAATAAAAATTACGATATGACTACCGAGGCCGACGTCTTCAGGGTGTACCAGCCCCGGTAGCCATAAAACAAAACGATGTATGGAAGTCCAGGAAAAAACATGAGATACATAGAACCAATTTAGAAAAGAAACTCAAACAAAATCATCAGAAAAAAAACTGAATTTTTCTGATGATTTTGTTTTTATTTTCTGATGATTTTCTTTGAGTTTCTTTTCTAAACTGGTTCTATGTATTTCATGTTTTTTCCTGGATTTCTACACAAAACCTTCGGGGTACTGAGGGAGTTACTTTAGGCATTTGCCTCTCCCTCAATAGAAAAGGTTTTGTTTTATGGCTACCGGGGCCGGTACCCCCTGAAGACGTCGGCTTCGATAGTCATATTTATTTCCTTCGTTTCTTTTTATTTCCTTCGCTTCCTTTATTGCTACATTTATCTTTTTTTGAAATTTCTGCTGCTTGTAAGCACGTTTTTTTTCAAAGAAGTTTTATCTATTTAGAATTTAAAAAAATTCTGTTTTCTTTTAGTATCACCAATATTTATTCAGTGTCACCAAGAGTATTAACTTACTATGAAAGTCATTTATTCCAATAAGAATATTATCTATGCCAAATAAATCTATATTTCACAATATTTAATTTTGTTTGTTTTCAGTAAGTGCAAAAAACGTATTTCAAACAAAAGTCACTTTTACTACTCCCAAAAATGTAGTTCCTGGTTCGGACACTGGATACGTGGATTTTGTTGGTAATAAATCTATCTTATTATTGTATTTCATTCTACAAATTATGTTTCTTGATAAAATGCAGTTTTGAATTATTTTCATTTCTTAATTAATAATTGCTTGTTACTTCATTTATATATTTTCTCTTTAAATATTAAATTTTTATACATAAAAGGATATTTTAATTGCTCATATATTTATCATTTATAACTTCCTATAATTATGGGAAAAATTATTGAGCAACAATACTGATAAGATTTGAAAAATTGTCGCTCCAAAATTAAATTATTATTATCATTGAAAAATAGAAAATATTTTTTTCCACTCAATATCAAAAGTCTCATAGTATTAAAGTCACATTAAAAAACTGTGTGGTTTAAAATTTGAAATACTCTCTCAGCCTTTTTTTTCTTCTTCTTTTTTTTTTTTTTTTTGACTTGCCACCAACGAATTATCATTTTGAAAAAACTTTTAACCTTTATGCTCTTTTTAATAGAAAAAAAACGCAATAAAAAGGCCCTCCAAAATCATATATTTTTATATTAACTCAAATGTATTACATGCCATTGCCAATCATGAACAGAACTTAATAATTTATTCATGTGAATAAAAAAGGAATTTCGAATTGATTAAAATCTGAATTAGAACTCTTAATAAGTCTTAAAAATAATAAATAAATAAACTAACTCTTTGAAAAATTTAAATCGGTCATTATAATTAGATAGTTAAGGATCAGTCCTTAAAGATTGCGAATTGAACAATTTTATTTAATAATTAAATATAAATCTACGTAAAAGGTATGCTGCAAACTATTTCAGTGTATCTCTATAAATAATAACGGAAACTACTTAACACTAAAGTTGTATAATAAAACGCCATATATGTATAACTGTTATAGAGGAAATTCTTATATATAAAATTCTTAAATATAACTCTTGGATCTAGTGTTTCGAGGCTTGGTACAAAACTGTTGTAGTTACTAATGCCACTTGCCAATACCAGCGTCCCTGGTATGTGAAACCAGGCGATTTTAAGGCAANATTATTATCATACGTAGCATTGAAAAATAGAAAATATTTTTTTTCCACTCAATATCAAAAGTCTCATAGTATTAAAGTCACATTAAAAAATTGTGTGGTTTAAAATTTGAAATACTCTCTCAGCCTTTTTTTTCTTCTTTTTTTTTGACTTGCCACCAACGAATTATCATTTTGAGAAAACTTTTAACCTTTATGCTCTTTTTAATAGAAAAAAACGCAATAAAAAGGCCCTTCAAAATCATAGATTTTTATATTAACTCAAATGTATTACATGCCATTGCCAATCATGAACAGAACTTGATAATTTATTCATGTGAATAAAAAAAGAATTTCGAATTGATTAAAATCTGTATTAGAACTCTTAATAAGTTTTAAAAATAATAAATAAGTAAACTCTTTAAAAAATTTAAATCGGTCATTATAATTAGATAGTTAAGGATCAGTCCTTAAAGATTGTCGAATTGATCAATTTTATTTAATAATTAAATATAAATCTACGTAAAAGGTATGCTGCAAACTATTTCAGTGTATCTCTATAAATAATAACGGAAACTACTTAACACTAAAGTTGTATAATAAAACGCCATATATGTATAACTGTTATAGAGGAAATTCTTATATATAAAATTCTTATATATAACTCTTGGATCTAGTGTTTCAAGGCTTGGTACAAAACTGTTGTTGTTACTAATGCCACTTGCCAATACCAGCGTGCCTGGTATGTGAAACCAGGCGATTTTAAGGTAAAGGGCGAGTTTCTTGTTTTTCAGTGGCCCCATCTATGGCTAAGAATACGATTTTCAACTACACCCACGTCACAGCCAGTTTTACAGGGAGGACTTATTCATACTCCTTTCATTTATCCACAGATTTTGACCTGAACCAGAGAAGGATCAATCTCCAATTTAGTACCCTCCAGAGGCATTGATTTGTTGTGGGAACTGCGAGGACTTTGTGACCCCGACAGATTTAACGTGATCAAATCATTATTTAATGCACGAGGAAACTTCAGCTGGCGGGATTCGATCTCACGATCTCACGAGTACGAGCCCATCGTCCTACCAACCAGGCTATTTCGGCCCTGGTGTAAAGTAGCCACCACCATTTTCGTTACTCGATAACATTAAAGTTTATAACCACAGTAAGATAAGTTACACATAACTGTTAGAACAGTCATTTTTACGATATAATACAAATTTAGAATCATTAATTTAAAATGCTTGTATACACTAATTCTAAGAAATAAAAATAGTTTGTAAATCAAACATAAGCGTAGAACAGAGAGAAACTTAAGACGGATTGGAATTAGGCTTAAGAGACTGGAAGAGGATAGAATTTCTGTATTATAAAACCAGTCAATGCAATTCTCAGTGACTTAAAAATTAAAATACAACTATCCTTATAACACAACTAAAAAGATACCTACTTATTTAAAGGCAAATGATGATTCTTTTGATGAATATGATTGCTGAAAATGACAACAAGCTCTCACCAGCTCATTCTAAATTTCAAATAAACTACTCGGGGATATTCTACTTGGCTTTTCTTGAAATTCAAAGCAGGACAATATTAATATTTTTGGAAGTGAAAATACTTCTCGGATGATCATTTTTCAATTTTAAGAGCTTTGATATAAATTACGTTTATGAACACATGGTTTGATGCTAACCCGGAATAATGTGTTCCCTGACATAATTGCTTCGGGTTTTCAATATCTTATTCGGAGAGATATTATACCAAAGTTTTTGCAGTCTAGAATAATTTTTTTACTTCTACAATTTATATGCGCTGTGCATATTATTCAATGCAACTTGAAAGATCGTACAATTTTCTAATCCATAACAATTGACTTATAATTATGTGTTTTTTTAGCGTAATAAAATATCACATGATTCTGCGTGTTAAGAAACGTTCCAGAATGCCTATATATAAGTAAATTTTTTTTCTGATTATGTCCTTTTCATGGCGCAAATGCAACCACAAAATAAGCGTTTTAAAATTATTTCTGGAATATTCAGGGCCCGAGAGCGTATTGACAAAACATACCGTAGATAATAAACTTGGCGATTGCAGGTGGAATTGGCGATGGATTACGCGTNCCAAATATCAAAAGTATTCGCCAATTTTCGAAAGTCTTCGCCAAATGCAAATCATAATAGTTATTTATGATTAATTTCTTCCCATAGAAAACTATTTTGCTTGTTTATTTGTTTGTTTCAGTCTTATATTATTTGGACACAAGTCTAATTGATTATGCTTCGCATCTACCGAAAATTATTGTTATCGAATAAAAAGTATTGATTTATTTAGAAAAATTCATTTTGACTTAATTTTTAAGATCCAGTTAAATTAATATTTTTCTTTCCAGTGGGAAAAATCATTCACCACTACTTTCGCCAAAACACAATTTTATTTGCCAAATTTACGATTTTATTGCAGTTGGTTAGGTGGCGAATGCTTAGCATGAGCCCTCTATACTATTTACATTAAATAGTATAGTATAGTAAAAATAGTTATAGCTTTGCACTAAACTACAAAATGCTTTAATTTGTTCTTTATTTTTTTAAAAAAAACTAACGATACTTTAATAAGCCCTACATCATTTATTCTGATATTATATGATCTGTGCATAATATACCTTCTCAAACTCTATTATTTTACAGGCGATATACTAGGTCCAGCCATTAATAACCTACAAAATCTTGTTAGTTTACCAACTCAGGGAGGAGAACTAAATATGATCAATTTCGTGCCAAGCTACTTAGTCCTAGACTACTTAACTGAAATAGGACTACTCACGGAAGATATAAAGAACAGAGCCACTAACAACTTAAATACAGGTAAATTAAAATTCATAAAATCGTCTTTTTAAATCAGGGTGAACGTCATTTCAAAATTGATGTGTTATCATTCACGGCATTATAATCTGATTATATAGGGGGTGCCGTAGCTACCGCTCTTGATGCATTGTGCTTGTCAAATGTTTACATTTGCATAATGGTAGCATACGCATTAGCTGCCGCAAATTAATATTATATTTCAGCGGGTGAAAATGAAAAAAAATCCATCGATTGACAAGTTAATATTTTGAGGAACATCAAGACCAGTTTGATTTTTTGAAGAAACTTGGGCGTGTTTTAAAGTCTTCTCTGCTTGTTCCGGCAATCAAGCAGGTTCTGATAGTTTTATTCCCACTTTTATTGGCAATGATTTGTTAGATTTCAAAAGAGATTTATGTTTTTCTTTGTTTAAATAATTATTTTCGATCCCCAATGCGTGTGAGTTTCAACAATTGCTTATGACCAGATTTCTAAGTATTTATAACAGGGGCTTTCATCCTACCCTTTCGAACATGAGAACGGTTATTTTCCTCATATGTTTTTAATTGCTTATTTTTTCTATTTATTTTGGACAATGTAGAAACTATTATGATTAAGCTTTAAAAAAAGATTTAATATTTTTTCATCAGCTCAAGCCCATAAACAAATATCCAGAAAAATTCTGATTTTAACCAGCAATTTAAAAAATTATTTACTATATTTAGGAATCGAACTTCTTGCATTTTGGTATAATAGATCTGCTTTTTTTATTTTTATTTTTTTAGTTTTATATACTTTATGCCATAAACGGAATATGTCATGAAATACTCCTACTTTGACGCCGTTAGTAACTCCTTCTTTCATAGAGTTGAAATAGGCCATATGTTTTACAACTACATTACAGAAAATTTCGAAAAGTCAATATTTCAACAATGCAAATTGCTAACAATCAATAATTTTTTAAGAAGTTACGACCAGCCACTTGTTTCACTGTAAGTTACATAGAATTTCCAAAAGTTTATAATTCAACAATGCATATAGCAAACACTCACTTTCTTATTTTAAGTATTTACAATTGGCCACCTGTTATAAATAAGTTACAGCATGTTTCAAATAATTAATATTTCAATAATGCAATTTGATATTAATCACGATGTTTTTAATGAGTTTAATCGAATTTATGTTTGAGAAAAAAGTTACGAGGAATTTTCAGTTATCAAGATTACAACAATACAAGATGTTAACAAATTCTAAATGCTCTTAATTTCCTTTTCACTTAAAAAGTAGGATAAATCAAGTGCTTCACAGATATGTTACAATGATCATCCAAAAATTCAATAGTTTGACAATGCTAGAGGCAAACAATCGCTTCCCTTTTTTTACAAAGTTGTAATCAGCCGAGTGTTTAACAAATAAGCAACGAAATATTTTCAGAAGGGAATATTTCAGCAATCATATCTCGTTCTTTAAGAATTTAAGATCAGCCAAATTTTTAACGAATAAGTCACTAATTAATTTCCAATAAAATGAAGATGACAAAAATCTCATACAATACATTTTTAAAAGGAATTGCATCAATTTTATGTTTCTCGTGAAAGTTAAAATGAATTTCCAGTTTTCAACATTTTAATAATTCATAATGGTCAGAAAAAATTCTAAATACAAATAGTTAATCTTTTACATGAAGTATAAATCACATACTTCACAAATAATTTACAATGAATTTCAAAATTAACTCTTAGAAATGGAGTTTGTTTTCATAACTAAAATCTGCAATCTGGTTACAGTCAAAGTCTGCTTAAACATTTCTTGTGCCTTACTTACTGTTGTCTGTGTTATTTATTCTCTACTTTAATTTAGCATACCAACGTGAAATGAAATACCGTCATGACGATGGATCCTTCAGTACTTTCGGTGATGCCGATGAGGAGGGTAGTATGTTCCTGACAGCCTTCGTACTGCGCTCATTTTATGAAGCTCAAGATTATATCTTAATCGAAGACTCTATTCTCCGGCAGATGCAAGATTGGATCGTATCCAAACAGCTAGATAATGGGTGCTTTCCCAACACTGGCCAAATTATTGATTTCGATGTGCAGGTAAGCTTTTAAACTATCGACAATTTTATTTTATTTTATAACCGGTGTTGAATAGCCCACCCAATTCTGAGTTTACGCCTATCAATGTTCAACAATGTTCAATGTTAAACCCAGTCCAGAAGACTATATCAAGCGTTATGACAAACTAGCCTTCATTAAGAACTTTTTGATGGAACTAACCCGCATTTGCGTTACATGGAAACAAAAACCACGAAAAAGGCCCATGATTGATCGTACGGCAAGAGAATTCTAACCCATGATCCATCTACCAGTGAGGATATTTTTCAATAGCACTGTGGTCGGTGCGAACTGGGAGCATATTTCCCATCCCACCAACCAGCCACCGCTGATATTCGAACCTGAGCCAGCACAATGGGAGGCGAACGCTCTATTCTCTGAGCCCCTGGGTTACTTTACTCATCGGAGAAAATTGCCTATTTATACAAAACGACCTGATATCGTTGTCTTTTTAGCCTGAAAAGATGTGGTTCATAAATGAATACAGTCTGGAGACTGCGAGATGAGGAACTTCCAGAGATGCTGAAAGGCTCACTCATTTAAAGAAGTAGTTAAAGTTATAGGGGTATTAGTCAACAAACGGAAACCAGTTGTCAGTTCAACGTCCTATCTTCACCTAAAAATAAATCAACCAGTCTGTTGCCATCGAGACCGCTACTTACTGGGGAATGGGACTCATCTTGTGTTTGCCAGACATTACAAGTCTCAACATCTGTAGATAGTCAATTTTGCTTCCCCTTACTTACATCCTTGTTCTTAAAATTAAAGCGCATCAGTATTTTAACTAATTGTTCAATTAAAAAAACTATAAATGCAGTTTTTAAAACTGTTTCATTAATCAAATTTCTTTCTTTTTTAACAGATAATAATAAAAAAGAAGTCATTTTTACAGTGGCCGACAGTACCGTGGGTTTTAGGAAGTTACAGGTTTTAAAAGTATTATAAATGCATTGCAAGAGCATTAAACATACATTGCACCTGCATTGCTGAATCTTGGATCTTTAGTAAAATAATATTCTTTATCTTGAAATATATATTCTTTATCTTTTCTTATATTTTCTTGATCTTTAAATACATATTCTTTATACATTTACTCTCTAGAATTACGAATTTCTAAAATAATTCTCAAATGTTTCTGATTACAGAAGTAGCCTACACTTTTGTATAATTTAATTTACATCAGTTATAGATTATTCCACTACACTACTTCTTACATTACACTTTTATATCAGTTAATTATATTATTTAACTTATATATCAATTATATTTATATCATTTACCTTATATCAATAATTCCCAAACTAATATTTATTGTTTCCTTTTACTTTCAGGATGGATTAACGTATGGAAACTCTACTGGCAGCACTACTGCTTACGTTCTCGCTTCACTTGTTATAACGGAATTCGACAACATTTCTGTCATTAATAAAGCTTTTAAATGTTTGAAAGAGAACTACCCCGCTGATCCTCATACTCAACTTATGTACTCATACACAGAGGCTCTAATTAACAAACTGAAAGAAGCTCAAATGCACATGGACGATGCTAGACGGCACCTTAACAAAACAGGTATTGTTTAGTAAATATTGCTTAGTGATTGGTGCAAAACTTTCCTTTCAAAATATTGGACTCGTCTTTTATAATAAAGTGGAAGTGGGTACTGCCTTTACGACGTCGCACTAGAGTTGCGCAATAGGTTATAGGCAATGGTCTGGGATACATCCCTGAGTATGATTCGAAGACATGCCATCACAATTTTGTGGAACCACTTCCTCCATTTGGGCATAGATCTGAAGGAAAAGGAAATTTTCTCTGTACACATAGTACTGGTTAGCGACTGACCACAGGACTTTGGATTCCACATATTTTTAAGGCATGCATGAGGCATGTACTCGGTGTTGTTTAGTGGATGGTGCTTAGTGGAGTCGAGGACCGAACACAGGTCCCTCCGGACCGAAGTCCGATTCTCTTACCACTGGGCTGCAACAGTCCTGTAAAAAGTAGAAGTCAACGTATAAAAGCATAGAAAAAGAGACAGGTGATTGTTTTGTAAATATGGAAAGTACCAATGGTGCTTCTCATAGTCTAGAACCGAATGCTCGTTAAATTCTTTATCTATGCATTTATGGATTGCATTCTCATTATTTGTTACTTAGTATCAGTAACTCTAGGTCATTTTTAGTAGTATTTGCTCTGTTTTTGTATTCTTATCATAATAGTTTTTGTTGTTGTAGTCGTCGTCTTATGAAACTTGTCAATACTAACAAGGCTATTTTTAAGGCAGAGGGGTGCTTATTCTTGTTTTCCAGTGGTGCCATCTATGGCCAAGAATTCAATGCCTTCACACACGCATCCGCTCCAATCCGTTTTATAGGGAGGACATATTCGCACACCATCCATTTATCCACTGATCATAATTTTGACCTTAACCAGAGCACGATCAATCTCCAATCCAATACTCCTCAGGTATTGATTTGTTATGGGAACTTGGAGGGCTATGTGACCCAGGCAGACAAGGTCGAAAAATACTGCTTTTTTTAATATTTGAGAAAAAAATATATATAAAATTCAGTGCATACAAGGACATTTCTCTGAACTAGCTACAAAATTTCAATGATTAAATTCTAAGTAATTTGAAGTTTTCGATATTGATTACTGAAACTAAAGAGTGCAAAGTTAAATTAACGGAAAGTTAAATAAATAATCCTAAGAAACTTAAATGGTAAGATATTACTTGAGTCTAGCAAGTCTTGAAAATTGATCCCTGTTTTTGACTGGCCCTTGCTATTTCCCATTCATATATTTGTGAAGCGAATAAAGTTTTTAATCAAGTGAAGAATGGCTAACAGGTGGAGTAAGCATACCTGTATATGAACGAGAACTAGAACAAAGAATTAGAATTAGAAAATTAGAACGAGTTTTAGAACAAAACGAGATCAGACATTTCGAAAATGGATGCATGAGAGTATTGACCAAGAAAAGAAAGAGTTATTTTTGGTATGAATTAAGATGGAGCAGATAGTAGATCTTTAAAATGACTAAATTTTTTAATTTACTTCACCTTAAATGGATGTTTCTGAATCATCATAATACAGCTTTCCTATTCGAAAGGAGCTGTAAACCGTAAGGGCTAGTCCTGACAAAAATTACGTCATGTGCGATGTTCTTGAAATAATCTGTTATTATGACAGCACCTATCACTACTTTTTCAATCGTATGACTAAATAAATAATTGAACTTTGATTTTAATATTTTATATTTTTGCATTTTTTGATACTTGAGAAGTTACATTTTTGAAGTTTAAATGGTAAATGTACCAAACATGGGTACTCCTAATCATTTTTAATATTCTAATTGCTCTACATTTTTTGCTCAGATTTAAATTTGAAAATTCTGATGAATTTTCCTTGCAGGAGCTAACAGAGAAAAATGAGAATTGAGTTTAAACACTAATTACTTGAAATAATAATTGGATAGTTTCAATAATGGATAGTTTCAATAATGGAGAGTTTCAATAATGGCGAGTTTCAATAATGGAGAGTTTCAATAATGGAGAGTTTCAATAATGAATAGTTGCAGTAGTGGAGAGTTGCAATAATGGATAATTGCAATGCATAGTTGTCCTTCAACCAGCCTGAAACTTTGTTCAGAGTAATTTAATAGGAGCATGATACATGTGTCGAGCATGTGTCGAAATTAATGAGAACGATTTTCGCTATGTGCAATATCGCTTTACTAAAACAAATGGAATAATCGTATTGAAAAATTGGACTCTTATCACCCCATTGACTGATTTGCATCACTTTAATTGTATATACTGCTATTCTTTAGCAGAATTAAGATTTAAACATTTTTACAACAGCGCCAATACCATATTTGATATAATATTTCAAATTATTTTAATATATTTAAACGTTTAAATTATTTTTCTAAATTCAGGTGCAGCAGCTTATTTTGCAGTAGCGAATGGAACAAAATCCAAAGAAATAGAAGCAACTGCCTATGCCGTTTTGTCAACGTTAGAAATGGGAAAGGATCCTACAGCTGCCTTTCCATATGTTAATTTCTTAACTAAAACTTTGAGCCCGTATGGAGGATTTATATCAATACAAGTAAAGAATACATATTTATTATAGTTCATTAGAATGGGAAAAGATCCTCCACTTGCCTTTCTCTAAATTAATTTCTTCATTAAAAGCTTTATCCTGTAGATAGGATACATAACAATACATGTTAAGTATACATATAGCAAATGTATTTATTAGAGGTCATTGAAATGCGAAAGGATCTTTCAGTTGCTTTTGCCTATGTTAATTCCTAATTAAAAGTTTAATCCAGTGTGCTGGATATATACAAATACAGGTGAAGAATGTTTAGAAAATACACTTTACATCATCTTCAATGGCTCGACAGTCCAGGGTGGGCCTTGGCCTTCTGAGGAAGTTTTTTCCAGGCTAACTTTTTTCCTGCTAGCGTTTTCTGGTTTTTAGTTTTTAAGACTATAAGGTTTAGGCCTTCGTTTCATCTTAATTCTGCCTGCCTCTTTTTTGTTTGCCAACTGGTCTGACCTTAAAGACTCTTTCTGTGGTAAGTCCTTCATCCATTTTGATAACGTGTTCTGCCCATTTTATTCTTTGTCGTTTAATGAAAGTGATAATGTCAGGTTCATTATATGAGTGATCAAGNCCCATAAATTATGTCTATCGTTACCGCAAGAAATACATTTATTTTTCTTATTACACGATTCATTCAATAAACCTGACGCCGTTGATATGCGATTCTTATTTTGTTTATTCGAATTCTCTCAATTCGGAAACGTTTTCTTAAGTCCTCTCGAATTTTTTGACGATAGGCAAATCGTTTTTTCATCCTGGTGGCATATTTTACATAGCTCATTTTTTTTAAATACTAATTTGCCTAAATTCATACGCTTATGTTGTACATAAGATGATTCAAAGTGATATTTCTTATTCAGGTAATTTGAAGTACTTAAAAAAACATCTTTGTGGAATGTAATGTTATTAGCGTTGCAATCTTTGTAAATTATTTTAAATGCATTTTTTGCAAATATTGTTTGTATATCAGTTTGGATACATTGCAGTATAAATCTTTCATATAAAATAAATTAAAAAATGCAATGAAACGTTGAAATAAATCTCTAAACCTGCTCTTTTATAGCATACCTTTTATTGGGAATTAAATAAACGAGAAAAAACGAGTTAAAACGAGAAAATTCCTACGACCTATTGCTTAAATTTGAATGCCACTGGTTTTTATTTTACTGTTATTTTTAAGAATTTTAGAGATATTAAAGATACTTTATTTTAACAACTCTTCGGAAATTGCTGCAGTAATAAATGTTAAAAAATGAAACTTTAAAAATTATGAAACAAAACTTCGTTCATAATTCCTTCTTTAAATAATAATATATCGCCTTTTATTTAACGTATTTTATCATTTAATTCTTAAAATTTAAAATATTTAAATTAATGTTATAAGCAAATTAAACTTTTTTAATAAATTACGAGTTCGGCAGTTATTTTCACTTTAGTAAATGCAATTAAAGTTAATAAATAATTCAGAATTTTTTTATATTTTTTGGCACAAACAATGTTGTTTTGAGAAATAAAACGAAAAACAACTAGCTAAATATAACTGACTTAAACTCTACGTAGGCTTTATAATATTCTCTCAAATGAACGAGCGTGCTTTCTAGTCATGGACAAAACCAAACAATTAAGAACTACTGTCATAAACTCTCCATAGATTGCATCATATTCTCTCAAATGAACGAGTGTGCTTTTTAGACATGGACAAACTCTAAAATATAAGAATAACTTTTATAAACTTTCCGCAGATTGTATCATATTCCCTCAAATGAGTGAGCTCGCTTTCTAGTCATGGACAAAACCAAACAATTAAGAACAACTTTTACAAACTCTCCATATATTGTATCATATTCTCTCAGATGAATGAGTGCGTTTTCTGTAGCCATAGACAAAACCTAACAATTATGAATAACTGTTACAAACTGCATAGATTGTACCATATTATTTTAGGTAAAGGAGTGAGAAAATTCGAATAATTAAGAAGAGTGTTTCAAAACGCAAATCTAAAACCTTTTTCCATCTGCATTCTTAGTTCAGTATATTCTAAAAAGTCGCAGTTTATCTATGTTTTTGCTTTAAATCCAAGAGTTTCAGAGCAATTATTCCAAATGACTTAGCCTTAAAATTTTCTTGAATCATTCGCAATTTTTTATTTTATTTTAGGACACGTGTATTGGTTTGGAAGCTCTTACAAAGTTTTTAGAATATGTTTATGGAGATTCTATTAGCCTTCAAATCGAAACTACTGGTGGTTTACAAGAAACTGTCAGCCTCAATGATGACAACAGGTTTTCGATTCAACGTTTCAAAGTATCTGACACTTCAAGTAAAATAAATATTTTAGCAAGAGGCAGCGGTTACGGACTTTTGCAGGTGAGAAACGAGAATGAGTGAGCCAAAATTCCATTACTCATTATTTCCCATGACACAACTCAATAAGGCTGGCAATAATGGCTCAATAAGGGTTCGAAGGCCCGTTATTTTTCCGATATTGGTCCTATATAGATTTCTCAGATTCACCTGATATTTTATATCCATTGTTTAGCCAATATAGTTTCTATATTGGCCAATGTAGGCTCTATATAAGCCATTCTAGGACTAATATTAAAAATTCTAGACATCTCAATATTGGTCCCTCTGTGCCTGTTCTCATTGGACCCCTATTGAGTCAATTTTAAGCCCAACTGGTGCCAGGGTAAAATTGTGGCTTGGGAATCTTTTAAGAAACAAATATATAACAATATTGCTGATCAGGTGCTAAATAATTAAAAAAATACCTGAATGCCAGTAACAAATATTTTTGTCACTAATCAACCTTTAAACAACAATGTTTCTAATGAGCAAAGGAATGCAAAATTCACATTGAAAATGGTTGTTACTGGAAAATCAGCACTGTCATATTAGTTTTATTTTTTAATTTAAAGCAACGGCTTGAACAGGTTTTTACTTAATTTTGACCAAGAAACTATAAGTTTGAAATTCTCAAAACGTTTACACACTCATTTCATTTTATATTATAACTTGAATAGGACAGCGGACCCCGATTCTGGCTTACAAATATTACTATTCAACTCCGTAGCCTTGTAATTTAGAATCCAACCAGGAAGACTGGTGGATCAAGACGCTTTTAATCCACATTTGCGTAACTTAGGGAGGAAAATCGTGAAAACTTTCCACGGTTACCCCGACGACAAATGGATTCTCCGTGATCCATGATCCGTTTAGCAATGAGGATATTTCACGTCAGCACTTAGTTCGCTGCGAGCCGGGAGCAGAATTCTAATCACCAGCCACCTCTGGGACTCAAACCTAGGTCACTTCATCGGGAGGGGAACGCTTTATCTCTTGAGCCACCACGACTTTATAGTAATGGTTTAAAAAATTAAGAATATAAAATTAATCAAATGCTGTTTTTTGCAAGCAAAATTAAAGGACGGAAGAAAAATAAATAAAGAATGAAAAAAAATAATAAATATTGAAAGTTTATTAAATGGAAATAAGTTCTTTATCTCACATTATAAATGTGATAGTTTATATTTGGTGTAAAGTAATGTTAAATTTGTATATTTTTCACAATAAATTTTACATAAGTTGATTATCACAACAGCTATATAGTTTTACCAAGAAAAATCTTCGATATCTTCGATTGATATTTTTAAAGGGCAACAATATCAATTTTATGGAGAAGAATAAATAATACATATAAATTTTTTGCTCATGTACAAAATAACTTTTTAACGTTTGAAAAAAATATTTTAAAAATATTCTAGGACACAAAAAACATTGTTTTGTACAAAATATTTTTAAGAAAGTAAATGAAAACGAGACTAAAAAAACCAATATAATCCTCCTTGAACTGCATAACTTGGAAAGTTTATTGTATAGTTTTTTTCCCAAGTAATTTTAAGTAGGATTGCTTTAAGAGAAATTTTTATCTGATATTACAACACTACTTCTTTTATTTGTGGTTTTTATAGTGATTTACTAATGGTGATCCTTGTCGCTTGAATTGTTAATCAATAATCGCTTGATAATCAGTTACATAAGCAAAATATAGTTATTTTTTTAAAAAAATTATTTATTACCACGTAAATTTTTATATTTATTTAGAAAAAAATACGAAAATCACAACAATAGAAAATAAAATCAGGCTACTCATTTGTTTTGAACCGTCGTAGAATGCCTATTGCCATATTGGCTATAACAGCATATTAAGTACTTACTTACCACAACACCTATTACTTACATGTCACGAAAACCAGTAGTACCAATTACTATTATCAGTGTAGTACCATATGTTGGCGTAACAATGGTTTTACGCTAAATGAAATTACACTAAAAATGTATGAAATAAAAAAAACTAGAAAACAGAGAAACCATTCAATGCTTTCATAAAATTTCTCAATAATATACTTAATGTAAATTTTTTTCCGACCTTCGTTGAACAGTCTGTCCAATTTTTTGGGTTTACAACTACCGATGCTCAACTCCGTAGTCTTATAATTTTGAACCCAATGCAGAAGACAAGGGAACTCCTGAATCAAGTATTGGGAGAAATTTGCCTTCGTGGATAACCTTTTTTTCTATGGAACTAACTCGAACTTGCGTTACATGGAGAAGGAGAACACAAGAACCTCCCGCGGTTAGCCTAAAGGCAATGGGACTCTAACCCATGATCCGGCTGTTGATATTTTACGTCAGCACTGCAGTCGGTGCAAAAAGAAGAGGAATGCTTATCCACAAACCAATCCTGTGATTCGGACCCGATTCACCTCATTGGAAGACGAACGCTCTAAATGTAAAATTTTAATGTTTTTAAATATACTCGTGTCCATAAATTTAATTTAATCATGAATCATACGGAAATTGTACTCTAAAGAAAAAATTTCGCTAGCAGAATTATGAAATACATCTTCAGGAATCATATGAGATTTACGTCAGAATGAAACCAATAATGCGTTGCAATGACAAAGCTGTATATGAGGAATGGTTGCATTGAAGTAAAATTATTCACAAACGTTCTGTAAACCACTCAGTGCAATAACCAAATGTTTATGACATACAGGACTCATGGGGATGATTTTTTACTTGGCAGAGTTATAGGCCCCCTGATGTAGGCGGACTCATATGGAAGTGTCCGAAGAATTGCCCATAGTGTCATTCGTAGTTTTTGGAAACGGTTTCAAGATAATGTTACAGTACAGGTCCCCACCCCCCACCCGAATAACAATGCTAAATGAAGAATGGTATTTGACAGTAACTGCCAAATTAAGCAGACAGAGCACAGCACAGGAGGCGCATCTGTATCTTTAACTATCTGCAGCCATTGATACCACAGTTTCAAGGCAAACCATGTGCAGATATTTGGGAAGCATTTGTCTATATGCTTGCATGCTTGTCAGATGCGTTCCTCTCACAGCAACTCACTGTCACCAGTGATTAGCCTGCAATAGAGAATATGCACTAAAGACATCGAAACAGTGGGGTTATGTGATGTTTTCCGACAAATCCAGGTTTAGCGAACAGTCTGAATCATGTCGGATTTCATACGGAGAACCAGGGCCTTATTATCGCACGGGCCTACGGGGCATGGGCCCTGGGCCCAGTGTCTGATGGGGCACTAAAGACACAAAATTTAAAACCTATAAAGAGCCATTTACACTGCATCCAATTTCCGAGATGCGCGCGGGAATGTTTTCCACAACAAACGGCTTACAAATGTGTGAATTTTATGCAATGAGAACGCTCCCTAAAGAAGAAAGCGATGCAGCTCGGCAGCTGAGGATACGAACTATTTTTAAGTTAGGGCTCTTATTGTTGGCAGCAAAGTGAATTTCTGATATGTAAATATAAACACATTTTGCCTCTCGTAAACGTGTGTTGACAATGTCTACGAAACAGCTAAGTGGTCACGGTAAAAGAAAATTGAAGAAAAAACGAAGTGATTAAAACAAAAAAAATGAAAGGATTCATGGACAATTTTCTAGATAAAAATCCTACTGAGACTGAAAACGTACGGAATGCAAAGGAAGTTTCCATAACAGATAAAGTAGAACTTGAAACAGATGCCTTTGAACACATTTCTGGTACATCAGAATTTGATGAGGTTTGTGAAAAATCATCCCCGGTTTGTAAAGGAACTGGTTTTGTTGAAGAAGAAATAACTACATTTAATCAGCAGGTAGATGATCCATCAAACCTGTCTGAGCATTCATGTAAATCAAATAATTCATATTATAGTGATGTTGGTTTATGGCCTGAAAGTTTTTCAGATAATTTTCGGGAATACTTTGTATTGAACAAACCTGAGCAGAACATTCAATTAATTCCCAACTCTAGATGTATGATTGGAAACAAAGAAAGAGTTTTGACTGAGGCAAGTTTTTTCAGAAAAAAGAAAAATAATGAATTACTCAAAAGAGAATGTCTGGTTTACTCACCAGCAAAAAATGCAGTGTTTTGCTACATATGTAAACTATTCTGTGCTAGTTTTTATCTGATGAATCTTTGACACCCCAAGAAAAACTAAAAATTTTTCGCTCTCAAAATATAACACACACATTCCCAAATGTTGATACTGCTTTACAAATTCTGCTAACTATGCCAATTTCAAATTGTACAAGTGAACGTTCTTTTTCTGCTTTGAAACGCATAAAAAACAATTTGCGTAATAATATTAAGCAAGATAATTTATCTTGCTTAAGCATTTTATCTATTGAAAGTGATATGACCACAGAACTTGATTTCCAAAATGTTATTGATACATTTGCATCAAAAAAAGCAAGAAAAATGCCATTGTAGATATTTGTTCATCTTCTTTAATTTTATTTTTGAATGATTATATATATATATATATAATCATTGGGTCTGAATATTTGTATTGCTTTAATAAGAAATTTATCACATTCATCTATATTTTGTTTATTATGAAAAAATTCTTGTGTTTTTCATATGGTATATTTCAGATAATTTAGCAGGTGGTTCTTTTAAATTTTGATATTTTAAGTATTTTATCAAAATCATTAATACATCGAATAGCAATATATTTTTGATCATTTGTATAGGATTATGATATAATTTTTATTATACTTATAATTAGATCAAATGTTTGTTATAATTATTTATTTTTAAAAATTTTTTTTATTCCTCTTAACTGATGAATAACTATTTGAGATGTGTACAATAACATTTTGGGAAACAATTTTAATTATGATTAACTTAAAAGTCAATGTTTTTAAAGGGGGCACTTAACCGAAGGCCAGGCCCTGGGCCCATTTTCATCTTAGTCGGGCCCTGCGGAGAACCCCTGATACCCGTTACCACCGAGACAACATCACTGAACGACACCATTGCGGTTGGGCAGGATTGCTTCTTTGGGGTGGAATTATGCTGAACTCCAGAACAGATAGGTGGATTCAAATCGGAACTGCGAAAAGCCAAATTTATTGGGGCATCAATATGAAAAAATATGCACGTTTGTTTAGAACTAGCGTGGGCGCAGAATTTGGGTTTATGGATGAAAAGGCCAGTTTTCACCAGGTAAACATCTTAAGCGAATGTTTTCAATCTGAAGATATCCCCCGTATGGAAAGGCCAGCATTCTCATCGGCCCTGATTACAATACAGCATGTGTTGGACAAGCTTAACCGACGAGTTACTACTTATGAACTACTTCCNGTTGCATGGTTGTAATAATTCTCATAAATTTGTTGGCGACTCGTGATCGCCAAGGTATTCTTTTAAACCCAATATTATTATGCTGGTTGGCTTTGTTTTGGCTATGCTATATTTTGATAATTCGCCAATTTTGGATCTCCAACCCATGCTTCTGAGTCCGTTGGGAACAAATTACATGTACTTTTAATCTGGCTTTTGATTAGGTAAGTCATGGGGGATTTGTCTCCCATGGCCTGTCCTATTTTAATATTGTTATGCAAAACTTATTCAACTAAAATTCCTTCGAATAATATTTATATCTTGTATCTCGAGCTCTGCAACTATATGAAAAAAAAAGCTTTTTATTAATTCTAATCCAGCTCAAGTATTATATTCACCATCTTCTGTTTTCATTACTATCTTCAACTGGCCCACTATACCAAATACAAACTCCACCCACACCTTAATATTCCACCATCTCAACATAATTGGCACCCCTGACTCAACCTCCTTCACCATAGGAGATATTTTTTTATAATTGCTATAGGAAAAAATCGTAGTTTCACATTTTTTTAATTGCTCTAGGAAGCAAAAATTATATTTTTTAAAGTAATGGTATCATCCACACTCCCTTTTTTATCTTTAATTTAATAAATGGGCTTTATGAGTAAGTCAGATTCGATCCTTAATATTTGGAAATTTATGCAATAAAATGATATTATATGTATTAAATGTTTCTTAATCATAGGCTGTTCACCGCTATAACACAAAAGTGCCACCAGAAAGTACAACGTTTTCAATTGAAGTAAGCGGAAAATGTTTAGATAAAAATTGCAAAAATGGAATTATTGATGTTTCCGTTGCGTAAGTAGAAGTTTTCATTTTAAGTAGATATTAAAGAAGAATGCATTTTCTAACCTAGTAGATTTTAAGAAATGCCTACTGTTAGAATTAGAGAATAGTTGGTGAAAAACAACGGGAAAAAAATTGAGAATGCTAAAAATTAACCCTACTTAGGCCGGTTAACCAGTAAAAATAAAAGAGAAAAAAAGAAACCAACTCAGTATGGAAAGAATAACTGAATAATCTCGAATTTACTGAAAGGGAATGAACTAAAAGTTAAGTTGTTTGTTGAATCATTTTTTATATTTTTTTTCATACTGTTTGTTTTCTACGATTTTTTATCCTCTGAATGAAGTGATATCACTACGAGTATTCTACTTTAAAATGGTGCTTTAAACGACAGCATTCTATTGATACATAGCTTTTTTCAGTAAAAGCTACAAGACGTCCAGCTTGCTAAGGGTATTTACTGAGGGATAAAATTGCAGTTGCGAAGGAGATATTTTAAAAATTAATTTCACGAATTTCCATCGATTAACCAATGATTTTAAAACAAATATTTACCAAGGTTGTCCTTGTTTAAAATGTTGTCCTGCATTTTGCATTCGATTTATATTTTTTTTTCGAAAAACGGCATCAGAACATTGTATTTTCTACTAAGGTTGTAACTAAAATTCTAGAAGTACTGTGCACAATTTACATTTTAATTTTGCAAGTTTTGCACCACCGAATCTTTATCTTCAGGTCATAAATATCTGACATTTTCAAAATGGTTCCATACATTTTATATTCGATTTGTAAATTTTTCTGTAATAATAACACAAAATTGTGACAAAATTGTAATGGGTGCGAAGAAAAATTTAATAAAATTATCTCACAAAGTTTCACTGAGGAACTATTATTTTTTAGGCATATATGTTTTACAAGCGTCTTTCTGTGAAATGGGACTATGCACTTTGCATTCTATTTGAAACATTATACTGCTCCTGCTTCTAGTGATGAATAGCAATCTAAAATAGACCTTCAGCCAAGTAGAATTTGAGAAATAAAACATGTTTTAGATTTTCCATTTTTTTCTGACAAAAAGTTTCGGTTACAAATTTCCCATCAGCATTTTTTGAAAAGTATTTTGTTATAATACAGTTTTTGGTTTTTAAATTTGAGATAAACATCTTTGTGTTTTCATAACTCGAGTTAAAAGATTTTTTCAGCTTCACGAAAAGCGGTTTTCATCAGTATGAATAATAATGTTAAGTTTTAACTAATTTAAAAAGACAGACAAATGTACTGCACTAAATAACCTATCCAAAATCATTATCCACATAATTTTATTACTTTACAATTTACGAAAAGAAAAACATACATATTTTGTCCAAGTGGTAACTTATGAAAGGATATGTTAAATAATTACAAAACTCATTAAGTTATAAAATGATATTTATCCTATTTTGACAAAATCATGTATAAATTTTAGTTCTTTAGTTTTTACAGCATAGTACAGTCGTACAGTGACCTATCATCAAAAGCTTTTCAAAAAAAAAAAACGAAAATATAAAATTTAATCTAAAATACAAGATAGCGAATTTATAGTCCTCTTAAGTAAATTCAAGGAAAGTATCTGTATTTCAAGGGTTTTGCTTATTGCAAATATTAAATTAAATAACAAGTGCTTGGACCGACATACTCAATTTATTCTACAGGAAATTAAAAGCTTTAAGCTTTCTCGAGAAATATATTTAAAAAATTTTGTCGAGAAACAGAATTTTCCAATTTTTTCCAAAAAATATAGTTCCATAATTCACTCCAAACGAAATTGAAATCCTCAAATTGTTTCGAATGATGGGGAATAGTTTTCTAGTTTTTTTAAGAAAAAAATCATATTATATTAAATTGATTTCGTTGTTATTATTTTTAATGATAATATAGTAATTATGTAATTAATATTTTGCAGATATTTGCCCACAAATTTGCAATCAGGAATGAGCATTCTAGAAATCAATTTAGTCACTGGATTTGTACCTGATACGGATAGTTTATATAAGGTAAAAAATATTTTATTATCCGAAGATTAAAACAAATTATTCGAGGATCAAAATACGGAAAGGATAAACTTTGTGCCATATATGAATAATCTAAAACAATTTGCAAAATGCATAAATAATGTCTCACATTAATTTAAAAGTTTCTGGTTTACAAAAAGGCGATTAAGTTACTTCATTATCATATCGAAGCAATCATATTTCGAACAATGGCATCGTATATCGATATCGTATCGAAACAATCACATACTTTATTTATAATCAGATAGTTTATAATGCGCAAAAGGTACAAATAATGTTACTTAGAAATTAAAGAGTTTCTGTGTTATAATATTGACACTGAAGATAATGCTTCAATGTACAGACACCCGTTTATGTAACATTATTTGTATTTTTTATACTTTCTTTTACGTTGTCTTAGCTAGTTTGCATTCAGGTAGTTTAATTTTAAATAAAATGTCAGCTTTTATGAACATTAACATTATTTCACTATAGTGAATTTGATAGTCAAGATAACTGCCTTGACTAGAAATTATTTTTCCTGATTGAAAGATAATAGCACGATTATTTAAGTGAATTTAATTTCTACTTACAAAAAACGGCGGAGAATTTTGCCCAAAAAATTGTCAAATTAAAGTTTTATTTAGTAAAGAATCACAGCACAAAATTGGACGTAATTACTACTCTTCAAAAAAAAGTTACTATTTATAAATAGTAATAAAAAGTATGCTATGCTAATTACAGTTTATACTATAATTGACAGCTACTAATCGTAAGAGTTTCCGTGGTTCCCATACCTTTAACATTACAACAGAGTAATTTGGAACGAAAAGTTCCCTTAAACTGGTTTGCATTGAGTTAGTTTAGGAATTAAAAAGTTGTGTAAACTATAATATAAATCATTTAAGGAAAAACATAAAGAGATAATTGTATTGTTTGCTGCATGCTGCTTGAGAAAGCAATTAATTTACTCTCACCAAATTTCAAAATTAAAAGCAAAGACTGTCAACAGATAATTAAGAAAAACTATGAAATCATATTTTAATGGTCCCCACCATTTACAGCAACAACGTGGCACAGGTTAAGAACAAGATTAACAATAACTGCCTCGAATATTTCATCGAAATGGTCTGACTAGAAAAAATTGTTTCAAAATGTTTCAAAAAGCAGAATTTACAAATGGACTCAATAATGACTGATTTCAAAAAAGAGTGAGGATAAATCGTATTTCCTCGGTAAAACCGAACATTCGTTATCTATCTGGTTTTCATTAATTGATTCTTTAATATGTAGTCGGTTTTCGAAAGTTATGCAAAAGCCTAAATTATCTAATTTGCAGACAAAAAGTCAGTTAACCAAGTTTGACTAAAACTATTAATTTATAACAATACAGGGGAAAATAAAATTACAAATAACTTAAAATTACAGTTGTTGTTGCAGTTCATTTACGTCGCACTAGACTGCACAATGGGCTATTGGCGACGGTAAAGAAAACATCCCTGAAGATGATCCGAAGACATGCCATCACAATTTTCATCCTCTGCAGAGGGGATGGCACCTCTGCTTCGGTAGCCCAACGACCTGCACGCGAAGTCGAGCACTTTATGGTAGAACAGTTCAACGAGGACCAATACCGCACACCCTCGGTTCCAACGCAAATTGATCCAATTGGTTACCCACCAGCACACTGACCGCAGCCAGTGATGCTTGACTTCGCTGATCTACTGGGAACCGTGTCTTAATCATCAGTCCACAGTGGAACTTAAAATTACTGATAACTTGATATAATAATAATTTTAAAAAATGTGTTTTATGAATAACCCATTTTAATGAAAAGTTTCTAACTTTTTTAGGTAAAATCAAATGAAGATAGCAAAATCTTAAAAATAGATGTTGAAAATAACTCGGTGATCTTCTACTTTGAAGAAGTAAGTTATATATTTCATGAGGTCACACAGGTTAATCTAAAGTAAACTTACGGTTTTCAAAATAAACAGTTAAGAACTCAAAGAAACTCAAAGAAAACAATTAAGGTCGGAAAAAAAGCAATTCTTGCAGCAAATTTCCTAGATTCTCCGGCATAAATAACATTTTCGATATAAGACACTGTAATTCCCTGACACCATATTTCAATTGCGTTAAAAAAAAATAACAATAATTGTGGTTTATGATTACAACATGTATATGTCGTTGATGGTTGACAATTAGAAAATATCATAAGAGATTTTCGTTCACTCTATTGATTGAGATGTTTAGTGATGTATATTGTGATGTGATTTGCAATTGTTTTTCTTTGATATACAGTGTCACTACTTGCTGCTCTATCGTCGACTGTGGAAAATATTTTAAAACTGAAAATGGAATCTCTGGGGAGAAATATTTACGCAAGGTCACATAATTTTACTATAAGTTTTTTTATTCGTTAAAAATTTCTAATATCTGTCATTCTAATTTTTTACACCCTTATCGCACATGAAATTATTTTTATTTTATATTACATATATTTTTAAAATTTTGATATAAAATAAAAAAATAAAATTCATCAACGCGACATTATTGGTGCAAAATAATATTGATGAAAATCTATAAAATTAAAAGTTTTATTTGTAATTGTAATTTTTGGCTAATAAATTTAATGAATGTTTAAAATTTCTTGTGTCCTATGTTAGTAAAGTATAAATTTGAGAATGAAGAGGTTACATAACCGATTTAATAACCGATTGAACAATTTATGTTATTCTTTAAATTTGATAAAATAAATAAAGAAATAAACGGTTAAGTTTTTAAAAAAAATTCCTTAAGTTATTTCTAATGCAAGCAAGAATTTTTTTACTTCTTTTATAGTTTCCAATCAATATAAGACTATACTCAGGCATATAAATTAGCCTTAGAATGTTAATTATTCCTCATATACTGCACTGTGTTTCTTAATCAACCCTTTTAAGATGATCTTCCCGTATCATGATCTGGCATTCCAACTACAATCGCCAAGACGCCAAATGGGTATAAAACTTTCAAATTTAAGAACAAAGAAATAAATAAAACGTGTAGATATTTGCCAAAGGTGGCTACGAGTAATACTGTTCAAGTTGGTCCTCTTCTTTTAGATTTTTTTTTAAATTATTATTTTCTCAGTTTTTCGAGGGCTGATGCCAGAAGTTGCCAAGAGTTGGCGATTATTCTGCCATAGAACACGATCTTCCCGCTTTTAATATGTACCTATGAAATTATTGTCAAATATGTCTAGAAAAATGTTTACTCTTTGGGAGCTCCAAATTAATATTTCGATGAGAAATAAAAACAGGAATGTAATCCAAATCTGTCAAATCAACTGAGGATGACTTAATTGAAATCGCCAAATCAATTGGGAAGTGAAAGGGGATTTATTAAAACGATTTTAATCAATCGAATTGGTTTTGCTGTTTTTCTTCCATTTTTTTCACTATAGAATTTGAAAGATTTAAAAATTAGTAACTGATTCATAATGTGTAGAATATGTTTTTACATGAATTGCTGAAGTATATAAAGAGGGGTAATTATTGAACACTCTGTATAATTTAAGACGAAATTTTTAAATTTAGTAAATTATTTTAAAAACCTTAAAAAAATTTCATTCTATTTCACTTTCATTTTTTTATGAGTCTTAATACCGATGAGTCCAAACACTGATCTTATACATAGTTTAATTTAATATAACAATTTATAGTCAGCTTCGATTAAATTAAAATCCACATTTTATTCACGATATTTAATCAGATGCAATCTTAAAAACTTTGAACCTCTTTAAAATGCAAAATCAATGTAAATATTACACGTTATTGGAGAAAATTATTTGTCTTATTATATTTTTTTCAGATTACAAATGACAAACAAAATTTTAGTTTTCAAATTCAGCAAATTGTGGAAGTAAACAATAGAAAACCAGGATTAGCGAAAGTCTATGCATATTACGCAAAAGGTGAGTTACATAATTTTATATAATTGACAAAGGAGGTTAGAAACCTCTTTGATATCCCAACCTTTTTCTTTTTCACTCTATCTGTCTTTGCCGTGGTTTCATAGTGGTGCTTGATTGACTTAGTTTTTCGAAGCTCTATCGTCAAGGAAAATAAAAAAGCCACAGTTTAAGCTCCTTACACTTGAAGCAAAACGACGATTTTAAACTTACATATCATCTTGCTCTGAAGAATTATCTAATCTTTAGAATGAAGGAATAACTCAACTATTTTAAAAGTGTTTAAACTTTTTAAAAATCTCCAATTTAGTGACATATTTTGACCTAGATGAAAATTAATAAAGTCGCTGCCTTATTCTCAGTTTTTGCAAATTTTTGGGCAGCAATAGAGTAAGCTTTTAAATAATAAAAAATTAGACCACAATCGCTTTTCAACTTCTTGGGGACCGCTGTTTCCTTAAAGATATATTTAGTTAGCATGTTTAGGACAAAAAGACAGTTTTTAATGTAAGTGGCATCTTCCAGCCCGAAAATATGACCGCTTAAATCTAACTGAAATTTGTGGCAATTTTGCTGCTTTTTGCACAAACATTCAAAATTTCTAATCAATACTCCTTATAGAAAATACTATTTAATTTTAAAAAGAAAATTATATCAGGAATTTGCATATGGATAGACGATTTTTGCTTTGAAAAGGAAATGGGAAACCGCGGCACTCTAATGAACATGAAACACTTCAGTATATTTCCAAATCTATGAAACTGAATGCTTTATTTCAGGTTTCCATTTTCCCGTTTTCACTGTAGAAATAAATAAAAATTTAAATGTAATTTAGTAATTTAGATAATAGAGTTTTAATATAGATCTCGAGGAATAGTTAAAAATCAAGTTTAATATCATGAGAATCAATTCTTTTTGTTAAAATAAATTTTTGTGATACTCATAAATTCCTTTTTATTGCAGATAATGCCGCATCAACAAGCTATACAGTTGAATGAGTGATTTTTTACATTACGAAGAAAGTATTTTAAATTGTGTCTCGTTGTATAAAAAATGTTAATTCAAATAAAATTGTATTTTTGACAATAAATTTAATCGAAAAATCCCCATCTATTTTGTGTATATTTTTATTCAAATTATAGTACACCGTCTTGGCATTAACAGACTTTTCATCGTTTTTGTATCAAAGTCTATCGCTTAAATTTATATTAAAGCAATATTTCGTTTCTCAACAAAAACATCAGTTAATTTGTTTTCTTTTAAAGCCCTTGTAGTGGAAATCAAGTTTTATAAATCGATTTTTTGTTCTCATTACTTTTACACGTTTACATGAATATTCAGGACCATTTAATGGATTACTTTATTTCGATTCAATAAAATTGTTGCTATCGATTTACCCCTACCAAAACATTTTAAATATCTTCTATTGACTATGTATTATTAACTTTCCAATACTGTATTGTTATTTAGTCAAATGATTTTTTCTATTAATTTAAGTGGCGACAATTTAATCGAAACTCTTTCATAAAATGTTCATCTTGTAGCTCAGAAAGCGGTCACGTGAGACCTTTGACTTTCCTGATTTGTTATTTGAAGCGATGTCCATTCTGGCGCTGTTCCTCATCCATAAATATTGAAATTGTCATAACAATATTTTGAAAGAATATTTTTAGCACCTAATAGGCTTATGAAAATGCATGTAAATAGCATATTAAGTGTTTGCGCTTGGCACTTCTGTTCTGTCCCTAAACCGGGCATGGTTGACTAAAGCTTTCATTCCTTTAGTGGATCGAAGGAATGGGTATCAAACATGCTTGTGAACTAAACACTAGTGGTTCCACGTTCGGCTGACTGGAACATTAGTTCTTGTACCTCGGATTGCAAGGTCAAGAAAACTGGGATGGTCACAGTGGCTTAGATCATTCATGGACTGTACTGAATTTAGTTTAGTTTAGCATTTAATAAGTCTAAAAGGGTATGAACAACAGGTTTTAAATAATAAATCTAAATTTTGTCTTCGAAAACTAATTTATCAAAATACTTACCTACCGAAAAAATTCTAATCAAAAATTATAAATTTGTATTTTCAACGCATAAATGGAATAATTATTAAATATTTAATTTAAAACTGATGCTATTGATTTCAACTTTATTTCTGAAAATTTTAAAATTAACCCTTAAAAATATGATGTTCCATAACATTTTTGGAAATGTCAATAATGCACAAAGTCAATTTATCCCTTTTGTGTTCCTACTGGCTTCAATGGTAATTGATCAAAATTTAAAATTTTTTTGGTCTATTTTTACAAGAATTCTGAAAATCTATTAAAAGGAAAGTATTCCCTATATTAATGTTTTAAGGCAAAGAGCCATTACCTAATATTCCTTGGACTGATATTTTTTTAATTTTAAATGGTGTTAAATTTGTAACCACCTGCAGGTAAAGTTAAATGAAGTAAAATAAATAAATAAAAGTGCCTGAACTACTAAAATTATAAATGACAATAATGCAAAGTGTGATAAACTCGAGGCGTCTAAATGCTTTCAAATGTATTTGGTCATTTAAGTGTTTTATTTCTGAATTCTGAACTCTGAAATCAAAAATAGATTTTGTTTGATCTATCTGTATTTGTAAAGAGGCAGACATGCTTCCCATATCTTTACTCACCTGCAACAAAAGAAATTAAGCAATCTACAGCTATAAAGAAGAAGCTTAGAATTGAAAGGATAGTGATGTACACTTGTTGAAATTTTTTGTTTGTGTACTGTATTTTTTTTCTGTATTATTAACTGTACTTTTTTTGCTTCTGTTATGCAGCGTTGATTGTTTTTCTGTGAATGACTAAACCTGAAAGTAAGTTACAAATTCAAAATGTAAGCTTCAATATCTATAAAAAAGTTATGTTTGATTTCAAGATTTTATGTTGCACTTGGCGCTACTTCTTTGATACTTACATAAAAATACTTTATTTGTTTTCTAATAAAAATAATTGCTGAAGCCTTTCAGAAATTAAAACAAAAGATTTTGAAAAGAAAGAGATCAACACGTGTCATAAAAATCAATCACTCATTACTTTTTCTTACGTTTAATGCCATCATAAACTGTTAAACTCTATCATCCATTATAAATTACCTAATTCTTCGATTCGTTTTAACGGGTTTGAACACATTGTTTATTGCTTTAAATGTGAGTTATAAATGTATATTATTCTTTACATCATTCTTCACTTTTCGGAAAACTGTGGGATGATATTAAAGCGAAAGAAGAGTAAAAACTATTAGATCAAAACTTCAAAAAAGGTAATAATTTTATGCATGATTATACAGATTTATTTTTATTTCTTTTATTAATTAAACTTCTTTTTTAAGGTTACGTAATACTTTTTTATCCGCTATGTTAAAACAAATTTCCTATCTCTCTTCTCTGTGTAATTCTCTTATGGAACCATTTGTGCTAACGTCCTGAAATTTAAACAGCAGCTGCAAGGGGTCAGTTTAGAACCTAAGATTCTTGATACTAAAATTCCGTCAAAAATTTTAATTAGTCCGAGTGAGAAAAACGTTTGAATAATAAAGTTTCCTCATTGGTTTAGCATTGACTATTCACCCTTTATCCTAAGAAAGCAGACCCTACCGGAAATTTTGAAGTCCTCTTCTGACGTCAAAGCATTGACGTGACTGTTTTTTTTTTTTTTTTTTTTTTTTTTTTTTTTTNTTTTTTTTTTTTTTGACGTCCCGGATTTGCTTGTATATTTTTGGAACACTCAATTATTCTGAATTTAATTGTGTCGTATTTTTGTGTTAAAATGGTTTCTTCATAATTTAAAATATCAGATGAAGATATGAAAAAAAAGTACTTTGTGAAATTATCCTGCATTGGTGTGCAATTACCCGATCATTGAGATGTGGATTTACGCGATTTAGTTTACATCATCAGAAATTCTCCTACTTGAATCTTCTACCGGAAGTTGAAACAGCCTTTACAAATACTGCCCCTACCGTGGAGAACATAAAACACGTTCGGAAAAAGGTGAATTGCTATAAGTTAAACTCTAAACAATACTGTTTCTTCATATATTTAAAAGAAAATATTTAAGCTGATTGTTAGCTTACAGCTCTATTCAATAAAAAAAATGAATTTATTTCATGCTTTTTTTTTAATATTTAATCATTTTTACTCGTGTTAAGTTCAATGATATACATGGGAGGGATGTAATGCCACCGAGTGTAAAATTCTAGATTATTTGAAACCATGTGTTTACTTTGCTCTTGGTTACGCTTTTGAAATGGGTGACTAAAAATCTATATTATTCGCGATCGCAACGAACTATAGGGGGCGTTGTTGTATGAGACTAATACCTGCGATTTCTATATGAACAGTCATTCAGTTACTCTAGAGACGTCGTTAATGTAGCACGTAGCATTGCAACGTTTTTTCTTTATTGTGGCTAATTAAATTTAAAAAAGAAAAATGCTTGATATTCTTTCTTATGCAAACGAAAACAAAATGGTATCTCTTTTTATTAGAGAAGGAATATCCAAAACACATCGGAAAAATATTTGTACATTAACAGAAAAAAAT